CCATCCATCCATCCATCCACACCACGATGTGTCCCTCAACACCAACACACCTCAACACCTTACAAATTACACACGCCTTACTATCCACTGCTCAACCACCAAGGAGAGGTACAATTCCCTCCACCGTTCGGATGAATGGCTACACGAATGCATAAATGCAGGAATACGTGCATTCAGAGTGGAATCGTGAGTGGAGAGGAGTGTGATTCAATGACCAAAATGGGTTGGGGTCTCGACGCACCTTCAGTCTCCCACGCACAATAGGGTCGTTGTTGATCACACTGCCAACGGAGGTGATGAGTTTTATTATCAACTTGGCCATATGATAGCCAGGCGCCGCCTTCCCACCAATCATGACGGTGCGCGGCACCATTTTCAAATTTGGATTCGCCTTAATCCGGTTGTACTGAGCGATCACATAGAAGCAGTTCAGCAACTGGCGTTTGTATTCGTGGATGCGCTTCACCTGTTATACAACGAGAGGAGGAGGTAGTTGACAGCCATTCCCTTCTACATTATAATTATCAACGTGGATTCACACAAAATTGGTTTTTAAAACTCATTTAACTCCATTACAAATGCCTCAGAACTGTAAGTCCCTTCAGTCAAAGAATTAGCAGTGTTTTAATTGTAGATTTCACGCATGGATTTTCATGTGGGAGGAAAGCAGAATCCAAGATTGTCCGATTTAGCAAGATAGAGCGTCTTATTGAAGTCGTCGGGAGGCGCGATTCACAGTTTACCAATATAGCTTCTATTTACACAATTACTTGTAGTAGAGTGAAGCTTTTGAGGTGCTACACAGAGGAGCCTTATCCATTTCAAGAGAATCTTATCCTTTGGTATCTTGAAGACCTTAAACAGCAGCGCCCTAACCCACCAAACTTGTTGAAAGCCATAACTTCCTCGATAGCTCCGATGACCGTGCCTTTTACGCATCTCAAGGATTATGACTGTTGAACGATCCATCTAACACCATTAAAGGTTCATTCACTAACAATTAGCAGACGCTGGAGACATTGGGGGAGCATTTACATTGTCCAAAATGACAATGAAGAGTTAAGACTGCGGAAACGTGATTTGCATACTGAGTACACGTATTATAGAAGCTTCAAATAGCATTCGATAGGATGGGAAAACAAGCAAACGTTGAATGTTAAAGTTAAAAGTTAAGAAGAAATGAGCAGTCCGGTGCTTACCTGAAAGTCAAAGAGGGTTGAGGGATCGATCTTAACTTTGTAATGTTGTTCCATGTAAGATGCAAATTTGGCTTTGTTTTCGCGTTTGATACGCATCAAATTTTGTAGGAACTGAATGTTGTTTGCAAGAGTTGAGAGATCCTTCAGTTTTTCAAAGTTAGTAATCCAACTATCGTCTCCCATGGCATCCATAATCGCATCAGATAGGGAGGGATTACACAAGAGAAGCCATCGTCTTGGCGTGATGCCGTTTGTCTTATTTTGGAATTTTTCTGGCCACATCTCATAAAAGTCGTGAAAGCTAAAAACGGAAGCATCAACATTCACCTTTTGTGTTTGCCTTGAACGGCCTAGATGTAACAGGTAAAAGAAGGAGACATACACGTCATTCTTGATGATCTCGGTATGGACTTCAGAGACACCGTTCACGGCGTGGGAGCCTATGATGCAGAGGTAAGCCATATTGACGCGTTTTTCTCCGTCCTCCTCAATTATCGACATTCGTCGAAGGCGATCCATGTCACCTGGCCATTTCGTAAGCATCAGCTGTGAAGATGGATGGAAAGGTAGATTAAATTCCACAACCATGCACTCCTTTACCTATTCCCATTCATGCAAAGTTTGGAGTATTTGAAGTGCTTGAGGTTCGCAACATCCATGGAAGTTGAAATAGAACTAACTCACATCCAAAAATTCTTGATTAATACGATAGATGATTTCCAAATGACGCGGTAGAATGTTTTCCAACAGAGAACAAGGCCAGCGCTCTAGTGCTTCAGGAAGAACTGTGTGATTTGTATAGGCAAAAGTGGCGCAAGTGATATCCCAAGCCTGAAATCCAAGGGAGGAGGGAATGAGACTTCTCTGAGGGTGTGCACCAATTACGGATTCCGTAGCACTGATGATCATTGTGTGCACTTAGAGTATAAATGATGGGTCGACGGGTAGTGCTTAAAAAGGTATTCAACTCAAACTGAAATTTTAATTCAGCTACATTGAGTTCTGAGTCAGCTAAAAACACTGACTAGAGTTTGGTGTGCATGCGGGTTATCAAGTTCAGACAGCTTTAATCGGTAACCCGAAAGGATCATAATGCGTACGGGGCCGAGGTTTTGCATGATCTAAGCTAAATTCATTGACACCTACCCAATCAGAAACCATTTCATTCAGTTGAGTGATTTGACGGAAAAAAACAATGTGGACGATTTTAAGACTGTCGATGTAAATTAACCGATGCAAACGTTGGATCTTGAACATCCGACCAACACAAAGCTTGTGATGCGACAAGAATGGGTGAAAATTTTAACACAAACTGTACTAAAGCATTGAATTCGAATCACTACATGCAGCACGGAAGCTGCTTGCCTCGGAATGTCTCAGCTGCAGGATGAAGCTTACAGTGCTGCTTACAGTAAAGCATAAAATTTGGCGTCTCACAGACAAACTCAACGGTCTCTCTCCTTAAAGTTCCCCGTCTAAGTGTGCTGCAAAGATGAGCAACTAGATTAAGCTCTGAACCCAGTACTTCACTCCTTATCCCTACAACAGAGTCACACCATCGTTTTTCATTTTACATAAACAACTTGTGGTTGAGAAAAGAAACTAGTTAGGCGTAACGAAGTTCCGAAAGAGCATCAAGTTTTGTGGTACATAAACTTTAAAGGAGGCGAATTTTTAAATGAAACCCTTTTTGTGAATCAAACATTTGAATCAACTCATTTCGGGAGTGTATCCACTGAAAACACTAGGTCCTTAAAGAATCAATCCTAAACATCATAAGTAGGGACAATAAAATTTGAGTAATGCCATTGAAGTTAGTTAATGAAGTGACAATTCTTTGATCGTGAAAGACGCAGGTCAACATTTTAATGGCAATCACAGTTGCACAAACCTTCTCCCACTCCATTCCTTCCACATCAACGAGAATGCGCATAAGTTCAGGAATCGCAAAGGACGGGTGCGTATCATTAAGCTGAATGGCTACTTTGTTTGGAAAGTTTTCTAAGGACCTTTGACCATGATCAGTAACCCGATATCTTCTGATTATATCCTAAGTAGAAAGAGAAATTCACTCATAAAGGTAAAAAGCCAATAAGATTAGTACAAACATGACGATTAAACAAGAACAGACCTGGAGTGTAGCAGCCACAAGAAAATACTCCTGTTTTAGACGTAGTTCTTTACCCTCAAAGAAGTTGTCATTAGGATAGAGAACTCGTGATATATTTTCCGCGGAGTTACGGCCAAAAACAGCCTACAACCACAAAAACACCAAAAAGAGAAAAAACAAAAAGAAGCAAAACAATCGTTGATGTTCATCAAATTGGAGGCAGGCACATACATCAATGTAAGCACCAGTGTTGAAAATTCGTAGATCGAAGCCCGAAGGCGCCTTGGCTGACCAAAGGCGCAGAGTGTTACAAGTGTTGTTACGATAGCCGGGAATCGGAGTATCATAGGGCATGGCAAAAACAGCCTCCGAATTAATCCACTTGCGTTTACCATCCCCCGCATCCTCCACATGCCCGTAAAAGTTCACTGGATAGCAATATTCGGGTCGACCCTTCTCCCAGGGATTACCATAGCGCAGCCACTCGTCCGGCTCCTCAACCTATACCAAAGCCAAAACGCAAACAGGAATTTAATTCATGGACGTCTCCCCACTCACCTGCCACCCATTTTCAATTTTCTGTTCGAAGATACCGTAGTCGTAGCGAATACCATACCCGTAAGCAGCCAATCCTAAAGTTGCCATAGAATCAAGGAAGCAGGCAGCAAGGCGACCGAGACCTCCATTACCCAGTCCAGCGTCAGTTTCAATTTCTTCCAGTTCCTCTATATCCAGACCCATCTAAGGCCCATAAGTTAAAAAGACGTGTAGAAGCAACATTAGGATTTTTATGTTACGATAACTATGGGAAGTGCTTTACCTGGTAAAGAGCTTCATCGATGGCTGCGGTAATGTCAACGTTCATCATGGTGTTAGTCAACGTACGACCCATATAGAACTCCATTGATAAGTAATACACGCGCTAAAATAGGTACTGTGAGACTTAGTGGCTAAAGAAACAAAGAGCCACAGGAACCTACTATATATGATTATGGGGTGTTAGTTTGCAAAGAGAGTCATGTATGTCAATTTAATAACTAGAATAAAGCATTTTCAATAGATTTTTCTCAGAGAATACCTTAGGATCTTCCCGGAAATAGGCTTGTTGAGTACGAATCCATCGGGAGCAGAGATGATCCCAGACGGTCTTTGCGAGAGCAAGGTAAAAATCACGGGGCGTGGCGACATTTCTATCTTTAACTATGTCAAAATGAAGATGCCGATTAAAAGAGGTTTTTAGATTAGAGACATTTTCGACTTCCGCGATTCCTCGAACACTTATTTGTTTTCTTTTTTCCAATTCGTACTCATCTAGTGACATTGTGGCAAGAAGACGCACAGAAAACCACCATTTACCTTTATATCCACATACAAATTGCCTCTAACCTATCGATACGCTCGAAAATTAATGTGTGAAGGATTAAAACATAGTTTAGGTCGGTAAGCTTGGTATGTACTCAATAAAAGCTTTACTGATTCGGAAGCATTCTTCACAAACAAATTAATGGATCCGTTGTTAAACACCAATATAAGCGCCACAATTAAAACATATGTTTTTATAGATTTTTAAAGCAAATATTGAATTACAGTCGATTTAAAGGTAGAGATTGCATAGCTGTTTAAGCGCGGATCTTGCAAATGTGGAAAAGTTTACTAAGGCACATGCATTTAACACTGTACAACAGCGCACCGTTACTTCAATTTAGTTTTAGGATCTAAGCGCCTGCACTTTACCATTATAGCGCCTTCCCCTCCACTTTCTCCGTCCTTCAGCTGAGCCTTCTTAAAAGGAGGGCAGCTGATGACTTATAGGTAGATACAACCGAAAGGAGTGCAAGTAGAGTCGAGAAGAGAGAAGAGAGAATGGCCTCACATTCCACTTGCACGACACTGCGCCCTGAAATTTATTTTATTTTGGGATTTTTGTTAATACTGCAAGGCTTTGTTTGTGTGACTACCCGATGTTTGGTGGTCACTTTAGGATTTATTTGGCCCTTGTACACGTGAGCTGGTCCAGGCCCATTTGTCTTGTGACCTTCAGAATACACGTATTCAGCTGCTCTTGCTGATTTCTCATACCGGCCAGAAACCCTCGAGACGCTATAAATATGCGTTGTAGTCGAATAAATGTGTGTTGCAATGTATACTAGGGTGTTTTATATGACCTTTATTGGAGAGTCGGGAACCAAAGATTAGAACGCTAATCCCGTGCGTGAGGACTGTGAGGAATCCCTCTCCGGGTGATATCTGCTATTCGGCTCATCTATACTCCTATCACCGTTCTTCCTGTAATCAATGTCTTATAAATCTACTGCAAATCTACTGAAGTTCGTGGTTTAAGAGCATGAGGATAGGCTGGCAGTTCCTGCGTAATTTTTATTTCTATGATGTGATGAAACATAAATTTAGTTGGAGCTGCCAAAATTCTTGTTGCGACTCGAGACTTCCATCAGATAGAAGGCAACATCATGCTGGACCAAATACACGTATTTTACGAGGAGGAGAAGGGATACGGCATTTGCTCGACCTGAAGACTAGACTACGCGTACAAGGGCAAAACGAATACCAAAGTAATCTTAGACATTGGGTGGTCACTTAAAGAAATCATTGCAATTATGATCAAAAAATTAATTTCAAGACCGCATTGTAATGCTATGTTTACATGGCCTCTGGAACTTGGTGGTCGCTTTAGGTGTAGCGTGCCGAGACTTCACATCGAGTGGAAGAAGGCAGTAAGTGGAGCTGGATGCATATATTCCAAGGAGAATAAAGCAACTAGGCCTGAGCATGGTCCAAAGGCTAGCTCACGAGTACAAGGCCAGACAAATCCTAAAGTGACCCCCATACGTCAGATATTCACATAAACAGAGCATTACATTTGGATTTGCCTGGCCCATGTACTCGTGGACTGGCATTTGGAACATGCTCAGGCCTAGTTGCTTTATCCTCCTTGGAATATATGCATCAGCTCCACCTACTGCCTTCTCCCACCCGATGGGAAGTCTCGGCACGCTACAAAGAGATTAAGTTTATGGCAAAGTCCATCTGCTCATCCTCCTGGCAGAAGTAATACAGCCATTGGAGTGATTGATTTTTATACCGAACGTTCGAAATATCATCCCATTTGCAACAATATTGAGGGTAATTAGGCTTATATGATTGATGATATGGGCCGATTAATTTAATGATGAAAAATGGGTTAAATGGATTACAATTCGCAATACTTTTGTGTTTTTTTAATGTTGGTATAGGTGGCGTAATTCGTGCAAATTATAGTTTTGATTGCTGGACTGGCCCTCGCATCATGTCCTAAACGCCATAACTCTGGCATACATATTTAGCCAAGCCTTATGTCTTCTAGGACCCGCAGTTCGTCCTTTTTACCCATGCATAGATGTCAGCACTATGGATTAGTACAAAATGCCCTCCATATGGATCTCTGTGGCGGCTCAAGACTTCCCATTTGGTACCACAAGGCATGACTTTGCTAAATACTCGCAATTAGACTAAAAGGATAAAGGTGATGTTTAGGCAAGACTCAAAGTGTCAGCTACCCTTTTGGTTAGCCGCCTCTATTTCCTTTTACTGTGGCAAGGCTAGAGATTCTTTCCCCCGATTCAGTTGAGCTTTATTCGAATAGTGATTGAAATTGACACAAACGGTAAATAGTAGGAACAATTTCGTAATGTAATGTGGCTTACATAATTTTGCCTAAGTTAAGAGAGGCACTAGACTGGGGTGAAGATTTGTATTTAGCGGTTCAGTGCAGAAATGTGCCTTGGCACAATTTAACGACAAATGCACCAGGAAGAAGCTGAGTAACCACTAAAGAGCTCGATACTCATACGGGCAGTCGTTAAAAGAAAACTATTGTAGCGTCCCGAGACTTACCACCGGGTGGATGAGAGCAGCAAGTGAAACCAGATGCGACGCAAATGAGCATGAGCATGGCCCGAAGGCCAGCCCACGGGTACAAGGGCCAGACAAATCCTACAGGGACCGCCAAACCAAAGCCTTACAGCTATGTGCAATGCTTTGTTCAGGTGACACCTAATGTTTGGTGGTTACTTTAGTATATGTTTTGTCCTTGGACCCTTGGGCTGACCTTCGGACCAAGCCAAGACCTTGCCCCTTCTTACCCTCCAAAAAATGTTATTATAGCTCAAGCGATGCCTTTCACCTAACGAAAGGCTGCAGTATACAATACGTACTGTCTTGTTTATGTGACTACCTGACGTATGGCGGTCACTTTAGAATTTGTCCGTCCATTGTACGCGTAGGCTGGCCTTCGGACCGTGCCCAGGCCCATTTGCCCTTCGTCTCCGGAATACATGTATCCAGCTGCACTTACTGACTTCTTGTACCAGCCAGAATGTCTCGGGACGCGACAGTGGTGGCAGCGGAAATCGAACACGGCATTTTTTAACGACTTATAGGTATATAGTGCTTTTGAAGACCTTCAGCTCCAGCCGAGGTGGGGTCTCTCTCTGCGGCATTTCTTCGTTGATTGTTTATTGAAAGCGACATAGTGTCCGAGAAAATATATTGCGCAATGGGCACCGCTGATTAACTGGTATCCTACGTTTGTGTTACTAAACTTTGCCACTTAATCGACTGATCTCCTGAAAAGAACAGTACGAACAAGCCGACGAGCAATGGTTCGATCGGATGATGCAGTGGTTCCGTACCTACAAATCGCACAGGACCTGGAGGTGTATGTCGCTTATTCTTGGTGTTTATGCTCTGCGTTTGAGCATTTATGAGCCTGATAATCTGTTGGACCTCAAAATCGGGTCCCCTTGGGTGGAGAGTAGAAACCCCTCTTTTCACGACAAGAAGGTCATAGTCCAACCAGCAGACAAGGCTGAATTGAGAGGCGCATTTAACTTTGTGGCGGAGAATCCCTAAATCCTTCACAACGTTAGGATTTAGACTGACGTCCGTATTTGGTTTCACCTTATTCCCGTGTTCCATAGGCACCGCCGTGAACCATCTGGAAAAGTTCTTTGGCGGAATTTTCAATACAAAATCCGTGTGTAGGTGTCCTTATATACTTGACTATGTCTCGTCCCGTTTCCCCTGTAACATACCTGTTTTAGACTAAAGTTACATCACCTATTTCTGGAAGCAATTGATAGTTAACAGATTTAGTTGAAGCTGCTGAGGAGACTAGATACGGTTCCTCAGCCTCATGCTATCTATCGACTGGCGCGGTTAGCTTATGAGTGCTTTTTTGTAGTACCAATAATGTTGTGATGGTTGGTGCAAGAGGTCTACCAAGGAGAGCCCCAAAGACGCTGCTAAAAAGAAGAGAGGGATGGTGGAATACATTGGTTATGTGACTACCTGACGTTTGGCGAGCTCTTAGGGTTTGTCTGGCCCTTGTATGTGTGAGCCGGCCTTCGGCCATGCTCAGACATATTTGCTCTGTCGCCTTTGGAATACATGTGTTCAGCTGCACCTAATTGCTCTGTATTACCAGCTAAAAAGTCTCGAGACGCTACTCAATGGAGTGGATTAGTAGTTGGACATTAAGGAAACTTCCCATATATCGATAGTATGAATGCGTGAATGTAGACAAGGATTATGCCTTTTGATCTTTAATCATCAACGTTGGAACATTGCGTCAAAGATTAAAGAAAAATATGTTGGTAAATGTTCCATTAGAGTGTTATGTGAAAGAAAGTAGATCGAAATTTGTAATTTGTAAACTCTCATTGCCGCAAAATCTAAAGCCACAGACAGTTTTAAAATTGATTCTACAAAAAACAATAACATATAAAAATTAATGATTTATTTCTCATTGTACACTATTGATATTTGAACGTGACTGTTTTTGTTTAGTCGCTTTGCTTGCATTATCACCACTTCTCAGCGAATGCACTTGAAGGCGGTAACTCATCTAAACTGCGAGAATGTCTCTCGATAAGCTTGATTTGGAAAAGAGGAAGCAAATTAGTGTGAGAGGTATTGCACAGGTGGAAAACGTTGCGAATCTGAAGACCTCATTCAATCGTCACCTACATTTTGACATTGTCAAAGATCGTAACGTAGCAACGCCAAGAGACTTCTACTTGGCACTGGCGAGAACCGTATGGGATCACCTTTGCTCACGCTGGATTAGGACTCAGCAGGCTTACTATAAGGAAGATCCAAAGGTATGGTTAGTCTTCATTAGCTCCTGCGAAACAAATAAAATCTGTACGAGACTTGTTGCTAAACTTTGTGAGTACGTCATACACTCGAAATAAATATACCATTTTCTGCAATTTGTTGACCGTATTTTGCAGAAATATTTGGCAGCCCAAGACTGTGTGCTAAAAAGAATTAGGTGGTCTTTACCGTTCTTTCAAACACTGGTGCGTTCTTATGGATATTATTAATAGGGTACCGTTCTGCTGAAATTCTTCTGTGAATACTCGTTTTCTGTGACTGAGACACAAGGGCTTTTCTTCTAGGCGATTGCACTCTTATTGATGGTGCTGCAAAAATGTTGCCACCTATGTACGTGGGATCAGAGCGACTATGACTATGTCTGTGGTCTATAGTCGGTCTTGCCAAGTTTTATCTTTGATCCTCGTTCTCTTGTTCCCAAATGCAGTTATTTTTGTGTGGAATTCAAAGCTGCTCATTGTTTGTTTTTTAAGAGTGTTCATTGTTTGTCTTTGAGGTATATCAAAGGGTCTTTCAGTTTTAATGCTTTTAAACTTCCTGTTATCTGGTAAGCTTCCACTCAGTTGTTTGTAAGTTATCGCTTAGGGTTTAGTCCAGGTTTATTTCAAATGTTTGGCAATGTTTTTTTAGCGTGTGTACTATCTCTCACTGGAGTTCTATATGGGTCGTACACTTACTAACACAATGATGAATGTAAATATATCTGCGGCTATTGATGAGGCCCTTTACCAGGTGAGAGCACTTTTAGACATTTTTAACAAAACTTGTTTTTGAGTATTCTTTTAATTGCTGTACTTTTGTTGTTTTAGATGGGTCTAGACATAGAAGAATTAGAGGAGATAGAAGCTGATGCGGGACTGGGTAATGGAGGTCTCGGTCGCCTTGCTGCCTGCTTCCTTGATTCTATGGCAACTTTAGGATTGGCTGCTTACGGGTATGGTATTCGCTACGACTACGGTATCTTCGAACAGAAAATTGAAAATGGGTGGCAGGTGAGTGGGGAGACGTCCATGAATTAAATTCCTGTTTGCGTTTTGGCTTTGGTATAGGTTGAGGAGCCGGACGAGTGGCTGCGCTATGGTAATCCCTGGGAGAAGGGTCGACCCGAATATTGCTATCCAGTGAACTTTTACGGGCATGTGGAGGATGCGGGGGATGGTAAACGCAAGTGGGTGAATGCTCAACCCGTGTTTGCAATGCCTTTTGACACTCCAATTCCCGGCTACCGTAACAACACCTGTAACACTCTGCGCCTTTGGTCAGCCAAGGCGCCTTCGGGCTTCGATCTACGAATTTTCAACACTGGTGCTTACATTGATGTGAGTTTACTGGTATTTGGAAAGTGCTTTTTATTGACGCTTATTGTGATTTTGAGTTGCTTTTGTTTCGATCCCTATAAATCCTTTTATGCTCTCATCGCAGAACAGCGTTCGATGTTGTACTTTTCTTTTTTTTCATTTTGTTGATGTTCGTAATGTCACAGAACATCATTCGAGGATTGTTCGGTATCCTTTGTATCTTGAATTCAAATACTGCAAGTTTTTGCTTGAGTAACCAAGTTGGATTTCGATGTTAACGCTCATGGCAACACTTTAGTTGTACTTATCTGATATTAATGCAACAGTTTATTTGCAACAACTGTGAAAAATTATTTTAATGTACCGGGTCATCTTTTTGGATCCAGTAAGCTACAAGAATAAGGATACTTTGTCTTCATTTACGTTTTTGGGATTAAAGTTGGATTTAGTGATATTTAACTTACGGGCTATGCCATCTTGACTTTTTAGACCCATAAATGAGATGAGAATTTCTCAGCTGCAGTTTTACAAATTATTTCCTAATGAACAAAAACCATGTAAATATATTCCCGAAGCTTGTCGGAGTTCGCATTCTACATGAAGGATATTAACTGATTCTTCTGGCTTCTGGCTTTTGATTACTGCCTATTTCTGGCCAAAGAAATACATAATTACCAAAACTTCTTTACCTCCATGCTAAGGGTTTTGCTCAAACACCTAAAATTGTTTCGAAATTCCAGTTACAAATGCAATACGTTGCATCCAATGTAAGCACGGTTTATTTGAATTGCCATTTCTGGAGTACCTAAATTTTAGATATTGATGAGTCAGTACTCAAGGTGATCCAAGTGATCTAAAATGTTTTTTTTGTTGTATATTTGGAATTTTATCCAAATGTCAAATACTCTGCTTCGAGGTAATCAAAATAATTTTTTGACCATTTTAGGTATGCTCTATTAAAGTTTCCACTCAAATATCATTTAAGTGCTAAATTCCATGGTAAAGTATGAGGAGCATATGGGTAATTGGGACCATTTTAACCACTAAGCTGAATGTGGAACTTGCTCACATAGAACTTCCAACGCTTTTGAATGTATGGAATAGAAGCAGTGGAAGGGTATCCATGTGCTATTTTGAGGAGCAGTCGTCTGTACTTTCGTCCCAATTAATATTCTTCAACTGATTGGCCTAATGTCAGCTGATTGATTGCCCATATGGCTGGCGGATTGGATGGGCCTCTATCCCTACTCCATTGGCTGCATATATCACGTCCGCAAATTGGACTGGTTGTCAAACTTACAAACCTGCTTTCCCTGTCTGCTTACTGTATTGGATGTGAAAGCTCGGTGTTAACTTTTCGTTTGCTTCCGCATCCTGCAGGCTGTTTGTGGTCGCAACACGGCGGAGAATATATCACGAGTGCTATATCCTAATGACAACTTCTTTCAAGGCAAAGAGCTACGCCTGAAGCAAGAGTATTTCCTTGTTGCGGCTACCATTCAGGTTGGTATTTGAGCTTACTAAGCGAATAACTGAGCGTTCCAAAACAAATGCTTACTTCCCTTACAAACAATAGGATATCATTCGACGCTACCGCATTACAATAAATGGACCACGGTCTCTCGATCATCTTTACGAGAAAGTTGCTATCCAATTGAATGATACCCACCCCTCCTTTGCCATACCTGAGATGATGCGAGTTCTGGTTGACATTGAGGGCATGGAATGGGAAAAGGTGAGTTTCAAACTTCTCTTGAAGTCGATGTGGCGGATGCTTTAACGCAGAACATTTTACCGTTTTCGTTGACTTTTTTCCAGGCCTGGAAGATCAGCTGTGCCACCTTTGCGTACACAAACCATACCATCTTGCCTGAAGCTCTCGAACGCTGGCCTTGTAGTATGCTGCAACACATTCTCCCGCGTCATCTGGAGATCATTTACCGCATTAATCATGAGTTCTTGCAGGTTAGGACTGGTTATAGTCGTTTTGTCTCAGTTTTAATGTTGCTAGTAATTGGGCATGCATTTAACAATTTGTATGTGAGCTTTGAATATAGGAAACATCCATCATCCCGTGGTTGTACTCCTTTCGTTTGAGAAAAACATATCCAGACTACCTTTTTTCTGGTCTTAACTAATCTGCTGTGCCGAGCGTCCTACATTCTATATCTCAACACAGCCATTTTTAAACTTCCTAACCTATTCATAGGCATCTACAATTGAGAACTCCATCCTTACAATGGTCATTCATGCTGACACTGTTCTTTCTTACATTCTGACATTACAGAGTGGCGTTTCTTCCCTCAATTAATCTGTCATATTTTTCTTGCCCGTCTTCATCCCTGAGTAGAATTTCACATACCCTTTCGCATACCTTTGAGGCTTCTTACCTACCTATTTAAAGAATATTTATGGAGAACTCGTTATGACTATCTACAACAATGGATGAATGGTGTTACTCTCTGCATTTCCGCCAGCTGCAGCTGAACATGAATGGAGAATGGAGATTGAGCATTAAAAATAAGTCTAATTTGTTCCTTTTTAATGTAGCTGGTGCTTGCTAAATGGCCTGGCGATTTGGATCGCATGCGTCGGATGTCTATAATTGAGGAAGATGGTGAGAAGCGCGTCAACATGGCCTATCTTTGCATAATCGGTTCTCATGCTGTGAACGGCGTCTCAGCTGTCCACACAGAGATCCTCAAGCGCGAAACGTGAGTTTTACCACTATTCTAGCTTTCATAAACGCACTGACCAACCAGTTTACGAAGGCCTTGCCTGTTTAAACATAGGTTCCATAGCTTCTACGAATTGTGGCCCGATAAGTTCCAAAACAAGACTAATGGAATTACGCCAAGACGTTGGCTTCTGCTATGCAATCCTTCGTTGTCAGATGAAATCATGGAGGCCCTAGGAGATGATGGCTGGATCACTCACTTTGAGCGATTAAAGGATCTTCGCAAAATGTCCAACAATGTTGGATTTTTGCTTAACTTAATGCGTATCAAAAGGGATAATAAGGCCAAGTTCGCCTCATACATGGAGCAGCACTACAACATTAATATTGATCCTTCAACGATGTTTGACATTCAGGTGAGGTGAAAAAGAATATGAATCCATTTTGGATAAGTGGCTTTGATGAAATTGGCTTTTATGAAGTCGGATTGAGTTAAAAGTGGGAGGAGTTATCATCATTTTATTAGTTATGAAGTATTTTTTAGGCAAGTGGCTTTGTAATTTTCTGAAATCACATTGGTTTGACTTAAACTGAAAACTGTACTGGGGTAAATCTTGTTTCACAATTCTTACTAATGACTAGGCTTCCATTATAAGCTCTTTTGCTTCCAAAGCTGCGATGTGACGTCCCCATCCTTTTACCTCATTTTGGTATCGCACATATAATCGGTGTGAATCTGCCAGTTCATGACATTTGATTGTATGAGGTCGCACGGATAATTGATTAATTTTAAATCAGCTAAATGGATACCAGAGATCTCTTTGAACTTAGGGTAACAACACCTTCGGATTTTTTTTAGCAGGAATCCAATATGATAACTTGGATACTATTGGTTGACTTTCGTTCAATATTACTAGAAAAGTGCCACCGCTTGAAGCCTAAAATCTTTCGTTTAAAGGCTGTTCAAGTTCATTGGTTTTTCGCTTTTGTCCAGAGGAAGAGTAATTCTTAATAGCTTTTTCATATCTCTCAAGAAACCTCCGATTTCTTTGCTAAAACTCTGCTCTTTTTCACTTCGTTACCCTTAGAGGAATTTGTACGGTCTCACCAGACTGATCACGGGATGTGCAAAATTAATACTATTTTCGCAAAAGTTTATTCACAAAACAAAGAAAAATGGGAAGTAAATTAAACTTTGGCAGGGAATTCTTATTTGTTCATTCATCTCTCACATTTCCCTATTGAATGCAGTAGATAGATCTTAATGAATCATCTTTTACGAAGCCTAAAATATCGTTTTCTGTTTCGGGAAACACTAGGATGCGAGAGTCAAGCATTTCGAATCCAAATTTGCCCAAAATAAGAAACTTTTAGGGCAGTGGTTGGACGAAATAATGGTACTAAAACGCAGATAGATCAGATTTTTAAACCTGATTAGCTTCGAGGTAAAAGGATCAGAGTTACCTTTTATTACCTTCTCGTTGTATAACAGGTGAAGCGCATCCACGAATACAAACGCCAGTTGCTGAACTGCTTCTATGTGATCGCTCAGTACAACCGGATTAAGGCGAATCCAAATTTGAAAATGGTGCCGCGCACCGTCATGATTGGTGGGAAGGCGGCGCCTGGCTATCATATGGCCAAGTTGATAATAAAACTCATCACCTCCGTTGGCAGTGTGATCAACAACGACCCTATTGTGCGTGGGAGACTGAAGGTGCGTCGAGACCCCAACCCATTTTGGTCATTGAATCACACTCCTCTCCACTCACGATTCCACTCTGAATGCACGTATTCCTGCATTTATGCATTCGTGTAGCCATTCATCCGAACGGTGGAGGGAATTGTACCTCTCCTTGGTGGTTGAGCAGTGGATAGTAAGGCGTGTGTAATTTGTAAGGTGTTGAGGTGTGTTGGTGTTGAGGGACACATCGTGGTGTGGATGGATGGATGGATGGATGGGTAGGCAAAGTGCAATTAGCGCTGCACGCCTTCACGGATGCGTGTACGGATAGGTTGTGAAGGAGGGAAGGGATGGAGTGGTGAGGTGCATCAGCAAGGAGTGAAGTGGGTGTCACTAACCTGTTGACTATTTTCATTGTTGGTGGCGGTGTAGTTGGTGTTTCTGGAGAATTATCGAGTGTCGTTGGCTGAGAAGATTTTTCCCGCGGCAGACCTGTCGCAGCAGATCTCCACTGCCGGTACTGAAGCGTCGGGTACTGGAAACATGAAATTTATGGTAAGTTTCATCCTTTATTTTGATAACATTCCTTCTATGTTCAACGAAATGCATTTTATTGTCACAATTTTACTCATTTTCGTAATCAGGGCTTCATTGTAGTTGTAGTCAAACCTTCAATTATATTTCTTCCCATTCATTCCCAAGTCCTTTTATATGGCTTTCTACGTTAAAGTTCCTAAATGGTTAATTATGCCGCAGTGGAAGCAGTAACCTTGCATCTCTTAACTGTTACTTCCTGTGTCGGTTTTTGAGGTAAACCATTCCAAAGAAATGGACTGCTTTATTCTAATTTTGACAAAGATTTGCTTTGCTATTGTGTTTTGATGTCTTATGTTAGACTACTGTTTTATTTGTTCAAGATTTTTACAGACTCCCAATTTTACACTCTCCTTTCTGGACTTATTTGTTTATCTGAAACATTTTTGCATATTCACACGGGCTTGAGTTGATAATTTCTCTTCGAGGTTTTTTTGCAGACATTTGAGGATAAGGCATTCATGTGGGGCTCTCTGGGATGCATCCTAAACCGTTAGTATTAATGGAACTGTTATATGAGTAAACTATCATTGGTTGTAACACGGCCCAAAGCTGTACTCTATTGGTCATAGGATTGTAATCCACCATCCAATCCGTCTTAAACTATGTAAACATTGTGGGTTGATATTCTTACACTTTAAAGAGTGAACGGAGAAGGCTGGAACATAAATAAGGTCCATATTGTAGCTTGAATTGCAAGACGCAATCAAATAATGCGGCTCATATGGTAGCAGAATGAGATGCGTTTTCGGATGTTTTTGCTTTACATTAAGCTTAAACATGATTCGATCTTAGATGGCTAAGTTTGCACTCAGTCCCATGCCTTGTGACTCCAATAAGTTTCCAAATTAACCGATCAAGTGGCCTAACATTTGGGTTATAATATCTGGCTACCACGATAATTATACGTCTTTCTGGCTCATCCTTCTAGGTATCTTCGAAAGCTTGTTTTATGGTCCTATCGAATTCTAGGGTATTTTGAGCTCGTCAACTGGTAGTATGATAACTAGGTCTCCGTCCAGTCTGAATTTGCCTTAATAATTGTAGCATTTTTTAAATTTTCTTTTCGAAAGCAGAACCGTCCGTGAATGTAAATGAAAACTCTAACGGCGCCAATCGGTTTAAGATATTTTTTACATTGAATTCAGCATACTGGTTGCATTAACCAGTTAAGGCTCTTCGTTTGCTTAGTTAAGTGAATTAAATGACCTTTTTTAGCTCAACGGGGCTCTAACTCTGGGGACATTGGATGGTGCCAACATTGAGATGTGCGAGGAATGCGGACGAGAGAATATGTTTATCTTTGGCATGACTGTAGAACAGGTTGAGGAGCTCAATCGCAAGGGGTAGGCCATTTATTCCATCCGTATTCATGTAAAATGTAATCGGCTCTTTACTCCCATAAATGACTATAAGAATGCTTGATTAAGCTTCTTCTCGCCTAAACATCTTCCATTAACTATTGCCTGTTCATTTGACCGCTGAAGTACCTTAGGAGCGAACGTTTACATTCTCAGCTATTCTTATGACGTCGGGTCCAATTCAGAGTTATTTCACTTGATGTATTGAATTGACAGTCTGGCTTGTCTACTTCTCTTGACTCAGGGATGTGCTTTGCTTATCCTAGTGTCACTCATCTCCTCTAGAACATCCTCCCTTCACAGTGACTATAAAATTGCTTGCAGTTATCCACAAATAACTCTGTTGCCCACCTTCTTTAAATGGAATCCAGTTTAACAGACGCTTGAGTCATATAATCTCATGTTGGCGTTCTGCTTGATGAGTAGGTTCGGGAAAATTTACTACATTCATTTTTTTATCCATCAATTTGCCTCGGGCAATCCATTATTGTAAGCGGTTATTAAAGCTACTACTACTACTTTGCATTCAATTTGGTTTGAGTGAATTCACTCTCATGTCTCCGACACGTCTCTGGGCTAGTTACGATTAAGGTCACGCGGCCTGTCAAGCATCGACTGAAGGTCTGGTTTTTACGTTGTCACTAATCGACCGCGATGTTAAGTTTATGTTTTTTTGGATTCGCAAGTAGCTCTCACGGTTACGGCAGGAGGGTTGCAGATTACAATAACTTTGAGCAGCAGTGTTGCATACGCATAGCGAGGACAGTATTTATTCGAGGCAATTTCAAAACTTTGCATTTATTGAGTGGCCCCACCACTTCGGGATTTAATTCCCCAGTCTCTGGAGCAGGAGTATGGGATAGGTTAATAACGCTGAAACCGCAAATAAATTCTAGACATGGAATTATTTTGTAGTGACCTTTGGTAGCCGTTACTTTGCTGGTCCAAGGATTTTCGTACGTTGATTGATAGTGCATCTATCTAGTCGTTCATCCTACGCACAAATGGGTTTATTCTGATAATAGTGGCTCAATAATAATAACAATAATGGCCTGAAGGGGTTTCCTTAGCTTGAAAGATATTAGTCGTCTAATGTTATGGCTAGAGAAGGCGTCCTGTAGTAGAGGCGAGTTACAACCTTGTAGCTGTGCTACATTCTTTTCTGACCTTTCGTGATTGTTTCCTGTTACCGAGATTTGGCAATCTTAAAATATCCATCAACTAGGCAACAGTTTTGTAAAACTTGTTTTTTTTGACCTGCCATTGTTTAGTTATGCAGAGCAATAAATGTCAGCGATGAGGAAAAAACTAGTGCTTTCTGGGATTGACCCTATCTAGGATTACAAAATAATACATCTCTTCCACCCCATTGCAATACTTTACTAAAGACATTCCTGTCCCCCTGGCTATGTGGTGTGCATTAGCAAGTCTTGTTCCAGCGATTCATCTGTGCACAATCATCTTTCTTGTCTTACCTTGCAGCTACAAATCTCAGGAATTCATCAATGCCTGTCCCGAATTGAAGCAAGTTCTGGAGCAGCTGAATAACGGCTTTTTCTCACCTGAACAGCCGGATCTTTTTAGAGATATTTATAAAACCATGATGTTTGGTGACCGCTTTATGCTCTGCGCCGACTTCGCGGACTACATGCGGGCTCAAGCTGAGGTTGATAAGGCCTATGAGGTCGGTGTTGCTCTTTTTTCCCTCACCCCATTCCTTTGGCATTTTCGATTTAAAATCGTTTCCCTTTTGCAATGCCTTTTCGTTAAACATCGTCCAGACATTAAGGTATCTTCAGTCGTGGTGATTAAAACTGGTTCCACTTGTCAAAAGACCGTTGATAAATTGTTGACTTCAAGCAGACATAAGATAAAGGTTTATGATAAGGTGTTGATAAGCAGCAATTGGACTTTGAAATTCGGATAGTCCTGAAACCATGCTTGGCTCTTTTCTGAATATTTTTTTCTAAACAAATACTCAATCTATAAGTTAACCTTTGGTTTTCAAAATACCCAGGTATGCATTCCAGACGAGAATAGAATAATATTTAGAAAAGCTAAAGGGAAGGCGATGGCGGGATGTGATTTTGATGACTGGCCCGTCTTACCCAGCCCACTGCTCAAATTTGTCAATAATTCCATCTTTAAGCAATAATCAGAAAAGACTTAAGGGAGCAAAGGATTAAGGACAATTAGGAAAACAAACGCCAGTTTGATTCCTTTGTCTGGTCAGCTAACCCCTTGCTTTATCACGTTCAGGATGAGATGCGGTGGGCGCGAATGGTTTTAGCCAACATTGCAGGCGCCTGGAAGTTTTCTTCTGATCGCACCATCCGTGAGTATGCTCATGACATCTGGGGCGTGGAGCCGCGGGAGGAGAAGATGCCTGCGCCGTTTGAGAACGTTGAAGGTCCTGTATCTGTCCAGACCAAGTAGATCCTCTCCATACCTCTTTTTTTTCACTCCCTTCAATACAACTCTGGCCTGTATCCCCTCTCCTTCTGCCTATTTAACATCGTTTATGTCGCTGGTGCTAGCGATGACGTTTTTTGATGGTAGTTTCAAACTTGTCGGCCTGCCTTCCTATTTGCCCACCCACTTTCGATCAATGCGCTCTCATTTCTTTGTTCTATTTTAATTTATTTCGTGGCAATCTTCAATCCTGTACGTCTATCAGCCGTCTTAATTGCTGAAAGGTAACCATGCGTGCATAAAGCTCGATGACTTGATAACAGGATTATTGATGGAAGCTGAAACATATTCAATTTTGCAAATTCTGAGGAAACGAAGTGCATGACCCGTTCGCTTACAGCTTTTTTTGCAAATCATGGAGCTTACTAGGTCGGTTTTCAGGCCATCGGTTGGCGTTGCAGCTGAACGCCAAAGCGGCATGCTGTTGATTCAGACAGTCAAGATGGAAAAGGGTAGATGGCCTGCTTTTGGCTTGGTTGCCGTGCTGTCCCTCCAGGCTCTTATGTCGCCTGTGCAGGTGTTCGCACCATTCTCCAAATCCGTATGAGCTTCCTTTTAAGATACTTCCACCTGAGGAAGTTTCTGTCCAAACTTGCTTTCAAAGTTGCTTGTAAAACAGACTGCATTCCAATAGTGCATCTACGAGGTGGCAGCAAATCTTAGGTGGGGTGGAAATTGATCGTGTCTCGGTTTGTCGATAGTAAAATACCTTTAAAATTTGAGGGAGCTTGAACCTTGACCACTGATCCGCATATACCGCAAAGGGGGATAGTATGTCTTTGCTCAGAATTTGAAAGAGTTGTGGCAAGAGAAAGTGGAATCTTGAACAATGCTTGATGCTGAGGTTGAGATAGCAATGTTCACAATACCAGGCTACACAATAGTGGAAGCGTAATGTCAGGTCACTGCCACTGGTGGCCTTTCCTTAGCTGGTTGCTACCCTGCGGAGGTTTCGCTTCAAAAATTTAGGAACACGGCAATTCGCTCATTTTTTCCACCGTACGATGAGGCAAGGAGGTAGTGAACGACTTTATTAGTTTCAAAACCCATCGGCATTAGCAAACCTCTTGGGCTTTGTCAACTTGATGCAACAAACGCAAATGAATTGCCTAAGCGGTCGGGATAAACACTGCTAGAACCCCTTAATACATTTAAATTGACCAGTGAAATTGCTTTTTACTCTTGTTATTAAAGACCTTTTTCGTCCATTTCGGCCCTTTTTTCCTCGATAAGGCTGTTTTTTGGTGGATTACATCATAGCCTTTTGGGGTGTGACAGAAAATTGAAAATGCTAGGCAAAGGGACAGAATGACAAAAAGTACGTTCAGTAAGCAAATCAAATCAGTCGACTTTGTTCCTTTTCCTGCGCATTTACTCAAATGCGAGGCTAAAGAACAGACACACTTTCCATCGACCCAAGGTGTAGTAGTGAAGGCTCCACTTTTTCATTCAATGATTTTCGCAATCACTACCTAACCATTCATTTGGCCATCAGTCAGCACGATTCTTTAGACGCCAAAACCATTCTGCGAGCTAAAGAAGCAGCTACTTTATTGGTGTAGTGTGACCTCCAGTTATGGCTGGGTGCAAAAATGCAGGTAAAAGGGAACCAACAAGCACACAGAACGGATGCATGCATATGAAAGCATTGCTAGTCGTTGCATTTAGCCATGGTGACAATGAGACGCGTTAACTCCCGATGAAATACTTTGTTTTGAGATCGGAACCTGGCACGCTTTGCCTCAGTCCCCCTTCCATTGGAACCGTAGATCAACTTGCACTCGAGTTTTGTTGAGTTAGCGTTTGTTTTGGACCGAACCGCGTAACAAGAAGGACCAGGAGACGCCGACACATACGTAGTACCACTTTGATTTCACTTAAAATGACAAGTTAGTTAATTTAGTGGGACCATTCTAACGTCCAATTGCCTAGAATTGTCACTTTCGTGAACCTTCAGAATGACCAGTCCATTAGAGGCCCTATTAAAAGGTCAAGCTGTCCGTTTGGGGTTATGATTGATGGATTGAACGTGTGCAGCAAAATAAGGGAAATGAAGAGATAGGAGTTAAAAGAGGCTGTGTAGAACTTCACGGCTTCCATGTGAAGAAGAAACACTACTTGAGGAGAATGTGCGTATTTAGCAAAAGGCTTTTGGCATGGCGCCGAGGCCACTCCAATGGACCAAGAAAATATGGACACTTGAAGCGACTGCAACCATAGCTGGTAGTCAAACAGGCCAAAATTTAAAGTCTCGTTTTTATATTTGATCGGTCAGTAGAGATTCCCAAAGACGCCTGAAATGTAATATTTGGAACCAACAGATTGTGTGCCATTGCCTTTATTCGGTTTGCGTGTATTCCCTTGGGCACGTGTTTGCTGAAATAAATTCTTCCTTTGTGACTCCTAAGGCGAACCATGTATTTAGATGTAGACACCTTCATACTTTGCGGTTCCGCCGTCGAAATGGCTGGCTTCTTTCTCGCTTCCCTTCAGCGTTTGTTTTCTGCCCAATATTTCGCAAAGGCTTTACATTCCCCACTCAAGTAAAGACTTTTTGGCTTTACTTGGACACTTTTGCTCCTCTCCAGGGTTAAATGATTGAAAATAGTAGAGCGTCTCGATTGGCTCGTTGTAAAAATGGCAAAAGAAGTGAACAGGCTGTACGTGGCCACGATTACATTTTCTTCCCTTTCCAATGTGCGCCGATCAACACCCATGAAAACGCCTTTCCTCCTCCCTTCTTTAGGTTTGAATTGTTTCTTTCTGCCTCTTTCGCAGTCGCATTCCACGCACTTCTTTGCTAATTGCAAGACACAGCATTATTTGGTGTCAAAATATGAATTTTCGTATACAAACAAAGAAGCATTTAAAGGCCTCTTATTTCGGCAAAAATTAGGCTCCTTTTAGTAAAACCTTTCAATGACGTGGAGATTTATTAACAGCATGTTGCCTACGTGCTTAAGGCTTGAAAAATGGCGAATGTAAACTGACACTAATTTGCTTATATTTGTAGGCACGCAGTGAGCAGCGTTGCTTATCAAAACAAACTTCAACCATAATTTGAGCCTCATAAACACTTCTGATTACTTTAACCGAATACGGACGGCATAGTGGATAAGTTAACCTTGGAGTTCACTCCTAAATGACTAAGTCGAACGCTGTGCCGCATCACCAGCTTTTGATCTCGATGCCTCTTTATGGAGCAAATTACAGAACAGATCATCTGCGCTACCAACCATTCCCTTATAACTTAACAGCCACAGTTACCGCTATTGTAGATTGGCGCTCAATCCCTCCTCTAAGAGTGGGTAGATGGCGTGTGGTGGTGGTGGTGGTGGTATTGCAGTGGCCTCACCGTTAGGTCAGCCACCATCGGCCTGTGCGATTACGCGAGGTGGGAAAGCACCGTGTCCTGCCCCGATCGGGTTTTGTATTCCAAGGCCGTGAAGGCGTGGCCCTTCTACTGCACCGTTTCGCCCAACCACCAAAACAACACTGAGCATTACAAATTTACTGGAAGCTTGGTTAAATTACGCACTGCCGGATGACCAATGCGGTTAAGGAGATATTGAGGAAAGACAGTTTTCAGGAAGTTTAAAAAGCAAAAAAGCTTTAGTCTAAATCATGGCACGCAAATTTTTATGATTCCTCACCTCGAGAATCGGCAATAATGGAGTGAGTGAATTATTAAAGAAAGGTATGATTACTCTTCCTGTCTCTATTAGTTCACCAGTCCACAGTAACTTCGTTTCAAGGCTTATTAGGAAGTAAGCTAAACGGCAGCGGCTCCAAATTGGCTACGGCAGTGCAGTTGGCAGGATGGAGTTTAGTAAAGACGTCACTATGCTGTTTACACTTCCCTGTAAAGACTATTTTTTGAAATTTCAAGTAATCCAGTGAGTTTTTTATTCAAAATCTTATTTGACAAACGCGGACATTAGTATTTGACGATACAACTAAAGTAAGGGCATTGTTAAATAACTCTAATCCAACAGTCGCATCATTTCCATGCAAACATAGGCGATGCAATACCTCCATGGTGCTCAATCTCTGCTATCTCCTGCCCACAATCTCCCAATAAGTGCTTTTTAAATTTGAAGTACTTATCGTGTAGCCACAAAAGCACTTTAACTAGGGCAATCCCACGACCCCAGAACTGGTGTCACGTAACTGTGACACGGTTTGCATCTCTTAAACATGGAGCCAAAACGTTACTATAGCATTTGTGCAAAAATATCAAATTTTACTCCCATTTTTTGAACAACGACGTGAACTGTTTTCGAAAGTATTTGGTGACTTCTTTTACCACCAGCAAGTGTGTTAAATGAACAGTCGACCAATCAACTACTGCAGTCTCAACTAGTAGAATAGTAAACTTGCTTTAGCTGCTGCTAATAGGTGTCTTCCCGCATTTCTTACGGCCCTGCCATCTAGTGGCACCTTACCAACTAGAAAGCAATTTGCTACCTAAACATAGTGCAGCATACAAAATAAACGTGTTGTGTGGATCTTCGCAAATGTGCGTGCATTTTCGAGCACTGCATTTAACTCTTCCATCTGGTTGCTGTGACGCCTTTTCGTCTCAAACTAGATTCATGCAATCGAAAGCATTGATCACCACCGATTGCACATTGTTGTTAGGCCAGACAAATTTGAAACACATCAACTTCATGCCATATGGACGACAAGTGGCAGGTTCATCACAAATTAAAGCTCAAATTGCTACTTTCTAAAACTTTCATGATTTATACATGAAAAGCTTAGGTATTCTCTATCCACAACTTTTATCCTTAGGGCACGAAGTATAACGCGGAACAAGATTTAAAGCACTTTCAAACCCAGTCTTAGAAACCGATTTAGTATAAAATTTGTCAAAAACGCTAACCAACTACGATTCCCAACATGTGAGGCGGTAATGTTCGATAAATTGAAAGCTTGTTACTCTCCGCACCATGACCTACGTAGCCGTAGAAGTAGCTAACCATTCCCCAATACATAAGAGTGTGATTGATTCAAAATTCAGTAGAAATTCAAATAATCTTATCTATCCATATTATTCTGGGCAAGTGACGTGACCAGCACACTCCCGCTACCCCATTTAGAGGCACCAACACGGCTGCCATGTAGTCTCCCAGCTGCATGGAAACTAAGTGACCATCACAGCAGTGTCGTAGGTGTGTTTCTCTATCGGTGAGGAGTACGTTGAGATGGCCGACGCAGGAGGTTGGCAGAAGGTAGCACTGGGAATCATGGCGAAAAGAGAGGAGAACTATGAACTGCGATAGTTGCCCAACTTTTGTTTGGTAAATGAACTAGTTGAATGCTCAGCCTCTATTCTAGTGGTGGGTAGCCTAGCCTCCGTAGAATGCAAATGTTTTTAGACTCTGATGGCTCTCTTGCATTTTTGTTATTAAAATCGTGCATTAATATGACTGCAGCGCTCCAAGTTTTCCTACTAGGTAGAAGAAATTATGTTGCTTTGAATGAAGGTATCATAAAAGAAAAATAGCAGACTGGGCTTTGGCTCAACCCAAAGGCCAGCTCACGAGCACATGAGCAATTCCAGTACCAAAATAATCTCCACACATTCAAGTGGTCACCTAAACAAAGTATTGCAATGATATTGCTCAAATAAGCAAGCCCAATAAATCCAATGGCAGAATAAACAAGCTCATTAACTTCTTATCAAAGAGCTAACACTGTTAGATGGGTGACATCGAAACGAAAATCCTTCAATGGTATTTTAGCATCCCGGAACTTCCCATAGGGTAGAGGAACGCATTAAGTGAAGTTGGATACGTGTACTCTGGAAAAGCCCAGCCCACTCGCAAAATATGGTCATGTAAACAAAGCATTGCAGTATTTATTTTTTTGTTGTTAGCACTTTTATGCCTTAATAACTGCATATTCCGAAATACACCAAAGTCAATCACAGCTGACGTTTGGGAAAAATAAAATAAATTGGAATGAAAGTACTTTATTGAGTTTTCTATAGCCAAAAGTTTAGTTTGTTCCTGTTTATTGCCTGTAATTTGTCGAAACAACTTATCGACATCAAGTTACTATCAAATTACGGGTAATCAACCTCTATTTTTATTGGGCCCTCTCTTCACAGTAGGAGTGTCGGTGGCTGCATTTATAAGTCGGGAAAAAAATGTCCGTAGGCGGACTGGTGACTCCCCGGCCCAGGCCGGTGCAGTTGTCTCTCTTGATAGAATTTATGTGCCAGAAAACTTACACAGATTTGATGCGCTTGGTTGATCTGTAGGTTGATTATTTTATTCATGGATCAAGGCTGCCGAGCAAGACAGACCTTGAGAAGAAAATCGAATTAGCGAAATTCTTCAGTCGAACAAGGAATCTCTTTATTCGGCTGGAGGCACTTACCAAGTGGGCTAATACTTCATCGAAAGTGGACAAGTGTGAGGTGTGGTGGTCACTCACTCTGATTTGTTTGCTAAGAAAATTTCGAATTTTCTTGAGGAACAGAGCATGCTTCTCCTTGATACAGCCAACATCTTGTCGGTCCTGCATCAAAATCATCTAATTTCTGCCCGGTAATTCGACCTGTAGGACCTTATTTCGTAGTCTACCTCCTTTTGCTATGCTGTTGGCGATCGATATTTTTGTTAACAAGACGTACACACGCTTGCCAAAAGCAATTAAAGTGAGATAATTCGTTATAATTCTAAGCTGTACACTTAGGTTCGTTTCACTCCTCCTGAACCTATATCAAATGAGGAGATTAGGATGGGATTGCCAGATTTGAATAGGATAATAAAATATCGACTCAGTGTGTCTCCATGTCCGAGGCGTTTTACTAGCATTGTCATCGGTAAGTATTTTTAAGTACAATTACTTTTAGAACATGGGAGGGTAATTTTCACTGTGCCACACGAGTTTGAGGTCACTCTGACACTGCTCTCAGAGGCACTTGATTTTCCTTGGAGTATAATCGGCATCAAATTTCTTGTTTCTGATCCGAGTAGAAGTTGTAAGCTTTTAGTTTTTCTATTTTGTTCATCTAAACTGCGAATTTTAATAATTTTATCAGCTAGTGGGCCTCTCATTCATCCGCAGCAGACTCGGTTCTTGTTGCAACATGCTCAATCTCGTATTCTTGATCCACGTTTTGATAAGCGTCCTCCCCTCACCCATCTCTATGACATGCTTCGTAAGTCCTGTGTCTAATCTGAATTCCTTGAAATCGTTTATGCTTTCCCGAAGCAGCTTTGAAAAGTGGTCTCCTAGCTAGTTTACTGAGGGCTAAGAAGAATATTTGTATGGATGACAGGACCTTTTTTTTTCATCGTCTTCATAAAGTTGATTAGTGAGATTAGATACCATCGCTAGTAATGTACAGAAAGAAGAATTATGGCACGAATATTACGAGTGGATCTTTGTTTACTTTTCATGAGCCTGCCCGTGGAGGTTTGAAAGGGTTTGCATAGTTGTGGCTACAACGAGTATGGAAATTATTCTCCTTTACAGACGCTTTCGCAATGTCTCTACAATTGGATGTACTCTTTGAACAGGCCCAGCGTTTGAGGTCCAGGCGGCCGACGGACCCATTTAGCATTGAGGACTATCGTCCGGGGCAGTTACTCAAGGTTGTCTATTGGCGTGGTTTGTCAAATTGCAACTACCAGGCAGTAATGGGTCCAGACGGTAAAATGCGTCAGACCATCTATTCAATCGTTATCCACGTGAGTCCATTGGACCCTCAGCGACCTCTTTGTGTAACTCATCATCCCGATTTAAACACCATCGATGCACACAAAATTGGCTCCTTCGTTCAAGGTGGTTGTCTCTCAATCGAGAACCTTTTAACACGTACAATCATAGTCCGAGCTGAAAGAATGCTTACGGAGATCAAACACGAACTCCTACCCCTTTCTCCTGGTCCAATAACAATTGGTGAAATACCGCTGTCTCTCTCGGTACCCGTGCTCTGGCCTTGTCATCCTCACGAAATCCTCCAACTACGAATCAACACTGCACAGGGTCAAGTTCGTGCCTCATTTCCTTCCTCTGATCCTATCCGCAGCGCTCCCCTTCTTCGTGAGCTTGAACTGGCTTTTAACCGTCCCTCAGCACGTCGGGTCGCCCTAGATCGCACCTCTGCTATTGATTGCCGCGCCGGTAGTCGTGGTATACGAGGCCTTGTTGGAGATGATACGCGTTGGCAGGCACGATTGGTGGAGGTATTTTCGCGTCTTCGTTGCCTTCTCGGTCAATGGAGAGTAAGATGGGCGAATAGAGGGCGCTTGGTACGATATTCACTACCATTATCAGTTTCTCCACCCTCTTCCACCGCCCCGCAACCAGGCTACGTAGAGGTACTAGAACGAGCAAGACAAGATCGGGTCGCTCTAGCGTTCATTAAGCTTTTTCCCAATGATGAATACTATCTTTTGTGTGAGGTAGCGCCGACAGATGCACTGGCAGTGGGGTATCGGCACTACCTCCTCAAGTGTGTTCCCGTGCCAATTACGGTCACAGATCTGCATGTGGCTCCTGGAGGTCGGTGGTTGACACACAATTCTGAGCAGTCAGCAATGGACGGTGCTGGAGTTACGGCATCACCAGGAGTGGCTCTGAGAATAACCCACTTTATGCCCCTAATTGGTGAGGAGACATTTGCGAATTTGGTTGGGCAGGCAGTCTACTCGTCCCTGATTTTGCAACCATCGGTGAGCTGCTGAATATTTGTTAGACGTTACTGCTTGGGAAGAGCTTCTCATCAACAGCAGACGCCAGCCTTTCATTTAATTTTTATTTTTTCTCTCGTGGTCATTAATGAGGTGCTACCTTTCAACAAGCCTAATCAGGACCATTACGTTCACCTAGTTTTCGATAGCCGAGAAGTTTTCAAATAATAGGTGCATTGTCACAGCATCAGCCTTTCTAGGGTGTTTGTCCTTTAAGAGGTGGAATTTCTTTCATTCAAAAGTTATTTAACGAAAGTGTTCGTGGCAATTTCTGGGTAGCTCGTCCATCCTTGCTTGGATGATCGACGCAATCTGTCATTGATTGAACAAGGGCTTTTACAGGGTTGGTGGACTTCGTTTCTGCGATGAGGGAAGCCTTTCGCAATGCTTTGATTGTAGCGCTAAATTTAACTAGTTCTTGCTATATTTTAACATCTACAGGCATCCCTTAAAATTTTAGATGCCTGTAGGGCTTTAGTTTTCCTCACCTTGGCAAGTAATTAACAGTTTTTAACGCTTGAACTGTGTTCTCTAACATCGCTTCTTTTTATGTTGCAACTTGCACTCGTTCTGAGTCTGCTCAGATGTATGAAGTCAACGTGAACTGTGACTGAGGTAGTCATGTCATTTTCTCTGAGGTCTTGATCGCAGATTTTTTGGCTTGAGTCGCATGCACTTAGGAACTTGTTTAGCTCCACGGAGCTAGCTAGTCATCCTGTATTAATCAGCCTCACTGACCATGTATGCGTACCCATCTCGGTTCTCGTTAAAAGTTGAGCTAGTTGGAGCAGCGGAATTTTTTGAATAGATATTTGGCTTTTACTTCTTATATCTTTGCAGCATAGCTGTTTTACCTACTTATTTAATATTACTGATATGAGCATTGGTCAAATTCTGGAATGTCGGCCAACCGAGCTACATTGATCTCTTCCCTCTCCCAAACTTAGCTTGATGAACTGCGTGAAGCAGCAGCCCAGGTCCAGCGTAATCAAGTGTGTCGGCGTTTGAAGCGTGTCCGTGCTCTCTTAGAACACCTCTCGGGGAATGAAGAAAGCAGTTCGGCAAGCGAAGCTAAGCGTCGGTGTATGGAGCGCCTGCAGCCAAACGAGAGAGCGATGCTTCTGTCGGCTACTGACCGTTTCACCACTACGTCTTCGTCCACAGTGCTGATGCCAGATCTGTCTCGCCTTCTTGCTGCTCTGGAGAATGATGTGATTGCCAATGAGCTCAATGTGAAGGTGCATATCATTTGTTTCTGCCCTATCGACCCTTCTATTCATATATTTATTTGATTTCCTTTATGATTTCTTAAGTGATAGGTTGTTTGGAGGGTTTTGTAACGGCTACGTGACACTTTTGATTCATTGGGCTAGAAAGATTTGGTTCTTATCCATTGGATTCATTCAAAACATGGCAGGTTGAGGAAAAATGGGATATTTTCGAGACTTCATTGCGTGTTACGTATGTCATAATGACATATGTGGCTGTTTAATGTATATGGGCGATTCCATGGTGAATCAGCGAGCTATTTAAGGGGCATCAGTTATCAGTACTGCGGCTAGATGAAAGGTGTTTACTGTCATTATCATCAGCGGTTCGACAATAATAATTTGAAGGGCTTCGTTCTCATTAAACAATGTAACGGTTATCCCGACTCACACCAGTTTTGTTTGTCTTTACAGCTGGCAGAACACGGGATTACTCACTACGGTGTTGTTAATAATGCTCAAAGTGACATCCTGAATATTAATATCCGAAGGTAAGGTTCTTTTTTCATGTTTGAACGTTTTTTGGCTATGACTAACACATAATTAACACAGTTTGTCCGCACTCTTTTTTCACTCTTGAGTGTAAAATCATAAAAATTGATTGGCGAAGTTATAATATAGTTAGGAGCTGTATCGACCTTGTAGTGATTCAGTGAAGAGCATTTCTAGGTTTGGGTTGCTCTGAGCCCTTCTTCTTGGAATTTTGACGCAATCCTCTCCTTGGTTGTATTCTTCAACGTAGTTTTTCCCCAAACTGCTCATCTCTTTGTTTTGGATTCATCTACTCATCATTATCCACCCACTAGTTTCTCGTTTGCCACATCCATGCATTTATCAGTATACAAATCCACCCATTCTGCGTACGCAAGAAATTCGTCTCCCCATTGGATCTGATGGTCGGTAGTTGAGCCTATCGACTTGTAAACGTGAAGGAATTGTGGTCACGCCTCTTGTTTTAGAATTGTAAGAACAAATGAAGATTTTGTATTACAGCATTCCTACTAAGCGACTCCCAACCTGGGCACGTCCCGGTATCGCACTCCTCCATCACTATGCTAGGCGCGTGGTAATCATTAGCTCCTCTCGTCTTTCATCCTCCACTCCCGCCTCCGCCGCGTCTGCCTCTGCTTCAATGCGTTGTTGGCGTCTTACTATTGCCTTCTCCGGTCTTCCAGGCAATGTCAACGGTGGTGAACTGCTATACCAATCACCCATGGCGCAAGTCAACAGTTTGTCCGACCTGAATTCTTTTCTCCTAAGCGTCATAACTGAATGGGAAGCCCTTTGTCGCTTGTTTGCTATCTGCGGACCAGTTATTGAGAATCCTGGTTCGTAGCCGTTTTTTTGCGAATGAGCGACTGTACGAAGTGGTATTGGCAGTTGACTGGGTTTTCTCATTTTAGCGTCTTTACCGCCTGATGTGGGGTTAAATGGCTTTGATGCGAAGAGTTTGATCTTGGCTTATGGACCGGGTCAGCATTATCTGGTGAGGGAAACCTTTGCCTCTTCCCTCGTCGTTTTTTTTCATTTAGTAGATCAACTTGTTTTATTCAGAACAAGCACCTGGAAAATATCACAAATATTCTTATGAGACTGATGTTCTGCACTTCCTCCCTCTGCCACATTGCTTAAATCGTTCGTTCAAGCTCCTTTAATTGTAAATGCAGAGTCCGAATCGTCCGAATAATTTTAAGATTCATTGTCACTGGTCTTTTAAATGGAATGATCGTAGTCAACACCGATGCGTTTGTAAAACTGCGCGTCACAGTTATTGCCACGTAATCCTTTATCTTGTCTTTCATAGGCTGAATTGACTATTGACTCTCGTCAGAACTGCTGTCTTCGACTTGGTGTGCATCCAGGTCCTGTCACTTTGAAGCATGATGGCTGTGCTGACGACGCATTAAAGCAGCGGTGCCAACGACAAAGACAGCGCGACCTTTTCGAAAATCCACATTGCATTGTGCGTGAGCATCTGGAGTTCCTAATTGAGAGCCAGAAGTCTCTTTTACCAATGTGTTCGGTGAGTTCGTGGCCGTAGGGCCATTAGATTTGTTCTGCAAGGCTTTCCACGAATCCACTTTCTAAGACAGTAGAGCGTGAGGTGTATCTTTACACATCTACCTCACTAAACCGGCAATGAATGTCAAACAAAAGTCTGGGTTATGCCTTCAAAAAATTAAAATTTGTGGGTAAGGCAGTCCATTAGCTATGATGCGGTCAGTCATGCTGGGTACTGTGGATGAACTACTGACCATAAGTGAATTGTTGGTTTAATTTAAGGCTTTCTCCATGCTTAGACGATTTTCTCCCAATCAGGTCCTATCTTCTACGCTTGACTTTATGATGTCAATGGAGGTCCTGCGGAAACCCACCATCATGACAAATTCTGCGAAGGTTAGTTTTCTCAGGTCACTGTATCGATGCCAAACATTGAGGTGTTTTGTTTAAAGCATTCAAGTTTCTTAAGTAAACAAGGTCATGCAATTTGTTTGAAAAAATGAATTCAGATATGATGACTAACCAAATACCCTTAATTTTGATCAAACAGAGTTGTCACGGTGTTGAGCATCCCGGGACTGAGCTGATTACGTGTATTCGAGGGGGAGAAGAGGGGACTAAGACTTGACTTTGCCCGAAGGCCAGCCTAAGCGTACGAAAGCCAGATTAGTGGCAAATTGACCGCCAAACATCAGGTGGTCGCATAGATGAGGAGTTATAGCATTGCTTTTCCGATGTAGTTGAACGGCCTTTTGAATATCCCCTCCTTTTTCCAAGGAGAATGGAGGTGCCTTCACTCTACTCAAGATCCCATGACGAATTTTGATTAAATTTTGTAGAATTAAAAGACTAACAAATTGAGCTTATTGCTCTCCCACTTCTGCTCCGAATCATTTGGCACTTCTCCACTCAATTGTTGTAAACTTCTTGAGAAATAAGGAAATGAAGTTTTAGATTGACAGGAACTTGTTTGTGTTTACTTAAAACTTATTCAGTAGTGCAGATTTGCATAAAGGGATGGTAGATAGCCAACAAGTGCATTTTTTCTAGTCATCGGCAATTGTGAAATCATCTCGTCCTATCCGGAGTATGGCTCTGATAGCGCTCTCCTGTTTTGACCTACTACTTGCCTATCGTGGTACGCTGTGCATGCGTTTCAAACTTAAGACTGACCAAGCCGCAACTGTTCTCATCTCCGACGGCTGCCATCATCAAGAGGTTGGTGGTGCACCACCACAGAGTCGAGGGGGTGGGATTTCCAGCGAGATATATCCCGTACAAGGTTTTGTACCGCTTCCTGCATTCCAGGTGAGTGAGTGGACATCACTGGTTGGAAATTTGCGCATTTGTTCCGGTGCGTGAGGCTCTGAAGGAACCTGACGAATTAAATTTTTGTGTTCAAACAATTTGTTTTGGCAGTCTCCTTTAAATCCATGTAGGCTCTCCTTATAGGTTTGTTGCTATAATGGCTTGACTTAGGTATTTTCGAGACCTCTGCATCGTGTAGATTGCATAATTTGAGTCGAAATTCGCTTCAGCTATAAAATATCATTAGCTTTACTTGACCTGAGTACGGATTTGAAAGGTCATTGTAACACTAACTCGATTTTCTCCTCTTTTTCTGAGTAGGTTTTGTCTCGGTTTGCCGAATTCTACATTCAATTGTTGTCTGTCTGTTGCTTTGGGGCATGGGAAATTATCTAAGGAACTCCGGTAGTCACTGCTGCAGTGAGGTCAATTTCTCAGGTTCATTGAGACTTCTTGAAACGCAGAATAGAGCATTTTAGCTCTAAATCACTTTTTACTATCAAACTCTGGTGGATGAAATGGGCCATATGAAAACTATTTGTTAATTATATAATGTTGCCGTCTGATAATAAAGTTGCTTGAATTAAAGCATTAGGTGGTTGTTCATACGACTTTGGACTATTTCTGACAAAGTTTGGCATTTCTTACCGTCTTGCAAATATTGCCGAGTTCTAAGCATTAGGCTGGGTTTGTTAATTTTTAACGTGGCCGGAATGACTTGTGTAGGAATATGTCTTTGTTGATCATGGAATAAAGTTTGCTATGTCTAATGGGAAGTTAGATTAAGATTGAGAGTTAACTTGTCTTCCATCGTTTTCCATTGCTCAGCCCGATTTTAATGGTCCCAACGTTCCTCTGTTTTAGCTCTTCCTGGAGTCGATGCAAAAGGCCCTCAAGATGGAAGGTAGAGGTTGGTTACATTAATGATTCTCGAAACTTGATATTCCTCTTGTTTATCGATAATTATGTCTGGACTTTTGTACTTTTTCGCTGGTATATGTTTCAGGGGAAGTGGTTACCTTGCCTTATACATCCATCCTTGCCACTAAATGATAATTCTCATTGCCAACATCCAATGGTAAACGTCTCTCTAGACCGATTTTATTAACGTAAGAAGATCGGGTACCATGCACTCTCTCCGTTTGTAAAAGTTTGCGCTTGAAATTCTTCGCGTTGAAATTATTTCACAGCATGCAGTTTTTGAAGAAGAATTGATGCACCATTAATAAAAGTTAGATTGCAAATTCTTTTCACAATGGCGTCCGGAGGTCGTTTTGCTTTTTGATACGAAACCTGTTACCTTATGTCGATCTTACCCGATTTACCATTGAGCGTATGCTCATTTTCAGGTGAGAACCCCTCTGGTGGTTTCACGATGCTCCAATTGGACCGAATTCTTCGTCCATCAGGAGGAGGCATCAATGGGCCCGTCTCTCCTTCTGCCCTGGAGTGTTATCTTTCCGCTAGCCTGACTTTCCATGCTGCCTTCCAGGCGGTTAACACACATCGTTGGCAAGTTCCCTCTGCTCCTGCTCTTGAAGTGGGAGAATTCGTTGCAAAGGCACCTGACTCGGGGCTAGAGGTGCGATTGAAGATGGAGGAGGAGGCGACGGCGATGATGGCCGGTGTGCCACGCTGGCGTCTTGTTCTTAGGGTCACGCCAGATCCTGTGTCATGTTCGGTGGAAGGAGTTACGGAAATGGGTGCGAGGATTGAGGAGTTCTTCCGCAGAAGGGTCTGTTCTCATCATGATTATCGAAAGAACCCATTGCGATATCTTTGATTGAATTAGTCCTAAATATAGGTTGTCGTTACTTATGAGTAGCGAAGGATTTTTGCTAATTCACTATTTCATTAAGGACGTTGCGCATCTGGGGCTTTGGAAGTTCAATTGTTTTGTTTTCTCCAAATCAATTATTTCCCCGAATTTCTACCTTTCCGCAGTCATTCCTATAAGGTGTCTCATCGCCGACCTAATTCCTCACTATAATCTCTCTTCCGAAAAGGTTTGATCGTTCTAATTTTGAGCAGTTCTAAAAGAATATTGAAGGATAGCTGTTCCTTATTAAACGGATCCATAGTGCGTGTGCATTCGAGTTCGCCATTAAATTTTTATGTCTTGGTACACTCATGAATGTGAAGGTGTATGTGTTACTGTAATTGTATTTTCTCTACAGGTTATCCTTCAATTTTTTTGCTAACTTGTGGGTGTTGTGCACTTTCTTACTAATAGCACTAGTATTTAAGCTTATTAATCTCATTTGCATTATACGTCTCCCCTCTTTAAAAGTCTTATTCCATCTAAGTCTCCCTCATCTTTGGATTTGATGCTTTTAATGGTAAGAATGATCGTTAATTACCCATCAATTGAAGTAATATGAGTGAGTGGAGAAGGTAGGAATAAAGCATTACCTCTTTTTGATGACCCTGAGGACCTCTTTTTGGTAAGTTCTTAATAAGACTTTAAACAAGTTGCTAGTCTCGAGCATTTTTTTAAAGATTAATTGTATTGTTTGGTCTTCAGAGGCACATTCTTTGTTAGGGCTCCCATTTGCTTCCCACCAAGCAAAAAAACCCACGTAGTATTGTGGATCCACTCCCTGGGTTTATTCGGTTTTGAGACTGCAAGCAGATGATTCTTCCTCATCGGAATGACTAATCTTCTAAGACAACACTTTATTTGTGTTATAGGTTCCATCCTATGGAGATCTTTTGCTCTGTTTCTTCAGGTTTGTTCAGTCTCGCCCCAAGCGGCAGCCATAACATCTTTTTTCCGCCTTCTCTCCGTCCCTGGTTCGACCCTCTTTGATCTTGTCTCTAATGTCTTTGCCTGGGATTTGGACTCCGCAAGCGGTGTCAACAATGGTCTCCCTATTTTCCGCATTGGTCTCGTCTCTCTTGCCACACCAGCTGTCCCCGAGCCTTCTGTCGTTCTTCGTTCACCCAGCTATCTTGCCATGCAAGTCATCATCCCTCGCGCATCTGCTTTCAACGAACAATCCTCCCCCTCGGTGAGTTGTGCAGAGTTTAAGGTTAAATTTGATATGTAAGAAGTCAGAACAAAGTGAAGGGCAGACTTGCCACTAGCATCCGAGTACGTGAGACTAAATGTCCAGATATCCGTGAAGCCCGCGGCAGCCAAGTTAGATTGGCCAAACCTGTGCTCAGATGGCTGCTGATGTCCTAATTAATTCCGAATTGGGATCCTTTCTATCCGAGTGTTTAACCTGCTCTTTCATTCTAGGGTTTATTGCGTGCCTCCAGTGTGGAAGTAGTTGGCTTGACATATGACTGGTCGAAGAATCATGTGGCGATTGTAGCATCCAAGAGGTTCCAGGGTCTCGACGAAATAATCAACCAACGCTTCAAGGCCACAAGAGCTTGCACGCTGGTGCAGCTTATCTCGCACATGCGCAAGAACCAACTACAACAGGGAATGCCGATGCAGCAGCAGGCTCAAGTGCAGCAATAATGAAAATTGTACAAATTATGAACGAATTACATGAAAAATAGATAATGAAGTCTTCATCTGTGTTCTGCTATCCGGCATGGGTGCTAGGGTTGTGGGTAGTTTTCTTCGAACTATTTTATGACCTATTTTGTGGCAATATTTGGGCAGTGGCTGATCCACATGGGGAAAATTATTGATTCCCTGTTTCCTAGACAAGTTTTGATAAATCATTGGTTTGCGTTTGAGTGAGGTTGATGAAATGGAGACCATTTTTGTGCTCTGGTCGTGGCTGCTCTGTGCAACACTACCAGACACGATCGATTGCTGAGCTACTTATGCCTGCTGCTGTTTATTTCCGTTGAATGTGCATCTATTTTCCTGCTACTGCACGGTTAACATGCGTGCGTCTCACCACGGCGAGTCAGCAAAACAGGTGGGTTCAAAGCCACACACTACCGCCTCAGCAGTCAATTCACTGAAATTCGAGTTGTTTCTTCACGTGTGATACTCTTGGAGAAGAAAGCAAGTTAGCAAGTTCCCTCCGCTCCTGCTCTTGAGATGGGAGAAGTCGTTACAAAGGCATCTGAGTCGAGGCACTATTTTGTCAAAAAACCTGCATCGTTTTGGGGCGCATCACGTTTAAATGTTTGAGTAAATGAATTGGAAAATTGGGGAGTCGTGCACATTTTCAAACGCAAAGTAGATGGAACTCCACCTAAGCTAATGTTTTTTTTATGGGACTTCAGCATTAGTAAAAAGACAGTAGACTGGCGCCAAGCCGTCTTGCTAATAGGAATGGAAACCTAACGTTAATGAATTCGATGGGTTTGTTTTGCTAAGGTTTGAATACTGAGCCATAGCAAGAAGACTCTCCACAAATGGTGAATTTGTCCTTATTACAGTCCCCCTTTCCCCATTTCTATGCGGGAATGCTGGTTTTGCGCAATGCTAACATTTTCTTGCAATTTATAGCGACAAAAATGTTCTACTCTTTTTGATGTTATAAAGGGTCCCAGTTACTACCGATCCGTATGGCAAGGCAGACTGAATACGTACAGAAGCTGTGAGGTTCACGTTAGTCTCTTAATTCGTTAATAGCTTGCCAGTGGAACAATGAGAATTGGGTAGGCACCAAAAGCAAATGCTGTTCTCAACCTTCCCGTTGTAGGAAAGGTATAAATTCTCCCACCTAAGGTATGGATACTTCATTTGCTACGAGCAGAAGTCGTAACAAAGGCGGGTTCGCCCACCGCTGCCTCCACTGCAGCAAACTTCAGAGAGAAGGGAAGAAAGTGGAGCTTTTGCTTGACTCAAAGACCAGCTCATCCGACAAAATTCAGACGAGCACCAAGTTAGCCGCCAGTCATCGCTAGTCGAATAAACAAAGGATCACACTGTCCCCTCCTCTTTTGACCAACCTCATAAAAGGTTAACTATTTCAGATAAGTGATACACAAATTTAGACTAATGGTAATCCACAGACTGACTGCCAATCTTCCCACCGCCTCATCATAGATGAAAATAAGATCTTCTACGGAAAATATGTTTTCTTTAATTTTGAGTACACTTCAGGTATCCTCCACGAAATACAACTAACCTTGGAGACTTATACCAACACCACCAACGATAGCTGCAGAAATACTAACGACTAGTAATCAGTGTAGCATAGAAATAGCTACCAATACCATTTATCCCTCCCGCTTCCGCCAAAAATGCTATCCCCTTAGTCTGCGATAGTCTCACAAGACTAAACCAGTGCCAATACAAAAAACTTTGAAAACACTAGCGGAGCAAATGAATTCCGTATCAACAGTCAACAAAAAAGTTCTACAAAAAATGCTGTTGTTTAAGCTCTATGCCAACTATACACAAGTCCGTTTTTAGAGGAAAGTGGACAATGTCCGAAATATTAGCTCGTATATCAATTCCTTCAGTCACTCTGCTACCGAAGAGGCCGGAGGTTCTTCTACCAAGTTCACCGATGGCGGTCGTCGCCTAGGACCCCCACGGAATCCGCCTCCACCGCGCCTGGCTGCACCGCCAATGCCACCACCGCGACCACTACCACCACCGCTAGTACCACAGCCGGTTCCAAGACCTACGGAGGATGCATTTGCAGTTGAAGCCGATCCTGCTGTTACTGCTGCAGCGCGCTGATCCACTGCCTTTAACATTTGCTTGGCGGATCTCCAAGCCTCGATTATTTGCATGAGACGGTGTTGCAGAACCTTTAAAATATTAGAGTAAAAACAATAATCCTTTAATGGAGATACTGGTAGCGAAGATATTTCATGAACGAGCCTATATGTGGTTCCTAGTGGACACAGAAAGCGTCATCCCACCAAGGTGCAGAATGTCTGTTCCTGGATGGATGATCAACAAACACAGAGGGTGTGGTTTTTTAGAACCGTGATTTCGTTTTAAGTGAGAAGACAATTCCACACTTGATCAACATAGGAGATTCGAAGGCAGTTTCGGTGAACCGAAGTAGCGCGTCAACAAGTGGGATCGAAATCGAAATGTGATAGAACTTCGACACGTAAACTTCATTCAAAAATTAACGCGAGCATAACAACGTTGAAAGTAAAGAAAGTTATCTTAGGACGTTGTATAAAACAAAGAAAAATAACGTAATGGGACACACAGGGAGATGGAATATATCAACGCACCAGACACCTAGTGCCCGAAGGAAGGGAATCCAGGTTTGGAATGGGATAGTAAGGACCACCAAATCGACGGACCGTCGGCGTTGGAGGTGCAGAAGTATTGGCCGCAGATGCCGCAATAGCCATTCCCTCTGAACCTGGAGAGCTTTGGGGGGGTAAAGAGCATCTCGCGGCTGCTGCAGTGGTCGTGTTGGCGGATCCACGACGTCCACGTATACCCTGAACAGGTAACAATTAGGTCAATTTAATTAACAACAAATTCAGCTATAAAAGAAACTCACTCTTCTGTTACTCCGAAAACCGGAGGAGGCTGAAGACACCACAGATTCAGCATCATCGTTCGGTACAGAAGCATTCACCGTTGAAGAGGCATTTCTTTTTCGTCTTCTTCCACCACTACCTCGACCAGAGGTACCACGTGGAGACCTACCGCGTCCACTAAAGGGTCGTGGGGGTGGCAGAGGTGATTTCGATACACCTGTGTCCTCTTCCTCTTCTTCTTCCTCTGCTTCCCCTTCTTCTTCTTCCAATGCAGATACCTCAGCGCTGCTAGATCGGATGGGGGTTGAACTACTAGATCCAGAGCCCTCAAAAGCAGTGGAGGCAGAGGGTATTAGAGCAGCTCCGGAATCCGTAATTTTGCATTCCGGGAGCAGCATGTCGGAAGGAGGAGAAAGTCTCATGGGTTCTGTAGAATCGGAGATGACAGAGCCAATGGGTGAAGGGGGATGAGTAGAAAGTCTAGATGTTGAAGGTTCCGGTGGCGGTGGCGACGATGCCGAAGCCTTTGGAGTTGGCAACGAAGGTAGCGTCGACTTTTGGACCCTCTTGGATGCTGGATTTTTGCAACAAAATAACACGGAGATAATACCACAAGGTGCTTCATAATTGCGAAGGTTAATTGATAAGGTAATGGCATAAGAGGCTTGATGAAACGCAGTCTTAAAAAAGGCAATTCCAAGGAGTAACATCGACTTATAGACGAAGCCTCATTATTGGGCTTTCAAACCAATTCTACTTCTATAATATTGTTTCCGTTGGTCGCTTGATTATCATCAGGAAAACAAAGAAAAAAAATGTAATCCTGCGTTATTAATGAGGCTTAAGTGCGTTGCGATGGCCTCTAAAAGATAATTTGCAGGACGCTTGACGCACCAATCTTCTCAGCCAGAATCCCAATTTTCTTCCCCCCAATTGAAGACGTCTTCTTCTCTTTCTCCAGCTTCTTAGTAGAACCAATTACCACTTCCTTGTCTCTTTCCTTCACGTCTACTATTTCCGTAGACACCTCCTCCTCCTTCTTAACTGTTGTTGATGGATTTGCGGTGGCGGTGAGAAGTTGAGCCCCGGGAGGAGTGTCACCGAGAATAAGACGATGCTGACTACGAGTGAGCCGAGGTAACACATCGTTTGTAGCCATGAGAAGGTCTTTTCCCCTATCATCTTCTCCTTCGGAAGACGAGGAAGGGACGACTGCCGGAGGTTTGAGGATTGGAGAGGGGTTGTCAACAGCTTCAGAGGAACGAGGTGAAGTCGAGAGGGCGGTAGATGGAGATGAAAAAGGTGTTGGAGAGACTTTGGCCGGGTGAAGAATCTCCACCTCCTTCTCCTCCTTTTTTACCTCCCGTTGTTCCACCTGTTTTTCTTCACCTTCCCCTTCCTCGGGCTTTACAAAAGCAGGCTTCTTGGTGGATGTGGAACGACGGAAGACCTGGCAAAGAAAGAACGCCAGTTTCACAAATATCATTTTTTCCGCTTGATGAACCGGCATTCTACAATGTTTGATTTCTGATGAGTTATCCAGAGAACAAATGTAAAATACAAATAGTAATTGGAAGTCGACATTCCATTTAGGGGAAGATCTCCCATCCATCAAAATGGTAAGCAAAAATTGGAGACCCAATCATAATGGAGGAAATTTCACACTTGCATCTTCCCCAGCATTGATGGCTAAAAGATACTCAAAGAGTTTTAGAACTCTCACAGCAATTGAAAACTCACAGAACTTCCAACCCTGGACGAAGATCCTCTTCCAGATGATAATGACGTCAACTTTGTAGCCCTAGTAGATTTCGGCGACGAAGATGATGCAGAGGCTTGAGCAGTCTTTGTAGCCTTCGAAGAAGTCGGTTCTTGTTTGACTCGCTTCACCGGTGGAGAAAAAGACGGCGGCGGAAGCGAAGTTGGTGATAATGAATGCTGAGAATCCAAGATACTGGATGTAGCGTTTGCAGTACGACGAGCTGAGGTAGAGTTTTGCTGAGGAGGAAAACCATCCTCATCAGAACTGATATCCTCCAGAACTAGCTTAGAGGAAGCTGACTTCGTTGATGTCACCACATTTGTCGTCGCTACTGTGGTTGAGGTCGGTGATGTCAAATCTACAGGCTCCCCTGAATGTTCAAAACATTCTTTGAAGGATAATCGCAAAGAAGTGAAACCTTGCCTTACTTGTCCTATTAAACGTTATTTTTAGTGTCAACTTTGACCTGAATTTATCGGAACTTATCCGTCCGTTTCCAAATTCCAGGTCAATAATAGGACTGTGCATTTGAAAAAAAGGAGCAAGATATGAGGCTGCTTAAATGCAAGGCTTCCAATTCACCTCAGTACGAACGTAAATTTCTTACGAGCGCAACCCATCATCACACCGAACTTTGCACATTTCACGTGCGTCTGATCCTGTGCTCAAAACCTACCAGAGGTTGGGACACTACATCTTGAAAGTGCATTGAGAGGGAGCAACTATGACAATTTGGATGGACTTGAGTACGTCACAACAAATAGGTTTATTAATGCATTTGGAGTGTTACTCAAAGCGAAATGCATACACAAAAGACAATATCAAAGTGAACAGATCTACGAGCATTAGTTAGTCCTTCTTTTAAATGTTAAAAACGACCACTATTCCAAAGTGTAGGACGAGAATTCTCTGAAACATCCGAAAAGGAGACGCATTTTACTGGTACAGCGGAAGAGCCAACGACTAGAACTAGAAGAAAATGCATTCATTCAAAAATACCGACCGAATTAAGCGACAAAACTGAAGGAACGGTGTTCAGCTATGCAAAATAAGTAAGCGTGATGCATAGCGAAGCTCATAAAAAGAGCAAAATTCAAAGCTAAATAGTCTAGCAACCTGCCTATCCTTCTCCTTTTCTTCTTCGCTCCCCTCTTAAGCTTGCCTGGTAAGAAATGGGGCATCATTTCAAATAAGGTATAAGCAATAACATAACATAGATTCACTCCTATTCAAGGTCCTTAGCATGGCATTCGATTCTACGTCATGTCCAGTTGTAAATTAAAAGCAAATAAGGAACGACTCAATAAATAATAAGCAACTTTTTTCAACGCATTTAAAGAGAAGAAGACAAGACGGTAACCATGAGGGCAAAAAACAATAGATTCATACAATGTATTGGTCTTACTGGCACTGAAAGCAACCAAACTAACCGCTTTGAATAGCTTACTAGACATAGCCTTCTTGAGCAAGTTAGGCGAGTGAGCCAGTGAGGTAGCAGCATCGACTATACTGGTAGTAGTGGCCGGTGTGTTGGTTGTTGTCGACGCTGTCAACTTTACCATCGGCTTCCCTGTCACCTGACCAACACCACGCGTTGGTTCACTTTCTGCTCTACTGAGTTTGTTTTCAGCAAACTTACTCTCCGTTTGGAGACGACGCTTCTTCGTTTGCTGTGCGTCCACTGTCAGCCCGCCAAAATTCCTTTTGCTAGAAGTGGCTACAATACAACGTAGATTATAAAATTCGATTGCTACATATTGCGAGTTAACGTCCAATTATAATGAAACGATGCAGTAATAATGTTTGAAAGTGGGTTAGATTCGATAAGGAAGCTGTGTCCAAATTGTAGAACTTCGAAACAAAATCAGAGATAATTCACTAACTACGTAGTTAGAATCGTTACCAAAACGGTCTTAGAGAAAGAACAACCATGATTCCGATACAGAAGCGTTACAGAAGGAGCTTTTAATTAATAAATGAGGCTGTAAGGACTTATAAGAGAGGAGTCACTACAACTGCATTGATTTCTCAGTTGTTTTATTCGTATTTCACAAATCTCGAGTCCCAGATGCTTTTCGTAAACAGAAAGTGGGAATTGTGTAAGACTTTCAGATCCACAATTCTACTTAAAAAGCCTTGAAATTTATACAAATACAACCTCTAGAGAAACGCGAAATGAAAACTCACATTTGACCTCATCTGGGGTTGCAGCTCTATGAAATTTTTTAACGCAGGTGGATGCCGCTGCAGAGTCGCTCTCACACGTGGTAGACGAACTATGGGGCCGCTTTATTGACTGCCGACTGCTTTTTTGTTGCTGAGTTTGTCTCACGCGCTGTTTCTGTAGACGTCTCTGTCCCTCCTGCCTCCCTCCGCCATCTGACACAGTTTCAATATCTTCAGAGAAAGCCGAAGAAGCAGGATCTATGAGATTAAGGGTAGAACAAGAGGGCGAGCGTCTGACAAAACTTATCAGCGAGCTAAAAAAGAAGGAAATAAAGGAATAAGAGACAATACAGATTCGAGTCAATAAAAAACTTGAACCGTACATGATTCGCTCCCGATCAATTACTTCATCATGCCGCGCATTCCACCCAGCATAGTGAATGCGATAACGAGGCTGACCATGCACTGCTGTTGGCATTGTCAAATTTTCCTTCCCTCCCTCCACTACCGATGCTGGTTGGACTGAATCGTAGACGTGCTGAACAATCTTAGCTTTGTAAGAGTGTCCCTTATGACGAACACGAACCATGGTGCCAACTGGAATCGGCTGCATGCAAAATAAATGGAAACGACAAAAAATGAGGGCATATTTGAACAGCATGTTTCACTCTCGTCACGCTCGATTCTCGTCTCCTCAGTAAGACAAACCTTTGATAGTAAAGGCAACTCAGGTTGTTGATTTAGTGGAAACGCTCACCGATTCAATCAAAATGAAAAACAAATCATATGGCGTCAATAGGACATCCGAATAACAGAAAGGCACTTTACAACAGATGAAAGTCCGTGCAGACTCGGTATGAATGAACGAAAATTGCAAAAAGAGTCCGTTCCAGGCATAATTGGCATTGCAGAATAACATCCAGGAAACAAGTCTAAAAATATCATATACACCATCGTCCCATGCAAGGCAAATTTCCTATATTTCAGAGCGAGAAGAAGCGATCAAAGGAGCAGAAGAAATAAGAATTCATAAAAACTCAGTAACTACCATGGCTAAATAGCCTCCCAAGCCCCCCGCACATAAATACTGAGTCGTTATTTTGGAATGCCATAGTTTAGAGGGTCTTAAGGGAGTCACTTACGACTCCGCATACAGGCAGAAGGTGAACTCAACTTACAGACTGAGGGCAGCTGGGTTCACTACCATCTAAGGGTTCATTTTCAAAAGTGGGAAGAACAGGACTGCTGCTTGCGCTGTGCGGTTCTTCAAAAAATCCTTCTCCACCTCCACCGCCGGTGGATCGTTGTCCTGAAGTAGTGGGCTTCTTCAAGGATATCGAGGAGGATGGCTCAGGAGAAGCCGATTTTCGTGAAATACGACTCTTTGTAGTGGCAAAGTCAGTGGAAGAAAAGACAATCTAGAAGAAGAGAATAATAAACAATTAACCAATACCGACGATGCTGCCTGCGACAGCTTTTTCTCCTTTCCCTGTGACATTGTTATGTCTGCAGAAGGCGGAGTCTTCTTTGAGGTCATGAAATTTTGAGGTCTGGATGTCGATGTCGCGGGTACAGATGGAGTTGAGAGCCTTGTCCTAGAATCCGCGATCTGAAATTGAAAATGAACAACAAATGCACCAAATTTACAATACCATGCTTCCATCTTATCCAACCATACAATGGGAATACTTCAGTCTGATAAACCAGTCGATCCCAATGTTTGCTAATGAGTTTCTATTCCAACAGGAAGATGGGGATAGAAGGTAGATAGCGATTGCATCCAAGAAGGAAATAGTTTGTTTTATAGAAGCGCAGCTTTTCCAGAGTCCCTCAAGCAAGTGACTGAGAAATTCTCTAATGGCTTATACGCGCGTCTCGGACGCAGGGTACTGTAGGAGTCTGACAGGGTGCAGAAAACCGCAATCAATCCATGAAGAGTCGTGGAAGGGAATTACACCAGACAAACGACGAAAAGGTGGTGAAATAGTTCAATACACCCTCTGAGCTACCTATCTACCAATTCCTAACAGATCAAGATTCAGTAGAACGCAGTTGATTGAGTATCAGAGAAAAAAGTAACTCGGCTATTTAGAAATAGATACTTAAAAGGTGGGAGCTCCTTTCTTGGCCATAGGAAAAGTAATATCAGTCGAACGTGTAAAAGTCAAACTTGACACCTGCCGCACATTTATCACTTCTTTTAATGATAAGACTTCACAGAAACCCAAGTTGTATTTCTCAATATTCTGTAGGAAATAATAGCAAAAAAATCAGTGCCATAGGACGTTCTAAATAATGACAATGTCTAATACTTGAAAAGCAGTTAAAATGGTAAAAAATCAATGGTGATCACTGCCATAGCAAAAAATCGTACGTCGGAGTTACGGTATTCGTCATGACATCTGACGTGGCAAAAATAACACCCGAGACTCATGTTAGCATCCCAGAAACAGGCTGCCTTTTATCAACCATAAATCAAGCAAAAAATGACCGTCTCATTCATCGACACGTAGGTCTGATTGGCGCCTTGAAATGAACCCACCTTCAAGAGCTTCTCTTCCTTGGGCCCAGAGACCCTACGCTGGCCAGCCTCCTTCTTTGTCTCTTCCGATTTGCTCAATGCTCTCGTCGTTTGGACATTTCCAGATGATGTCTTTGAACCATACTTCTGCCCCGTATTTGAGGGATCGCCAACAGTACCAGGAGTGGTAGTTAACGATGCTGTTGCTTTTGATTTCCGAGGCAAAGGAATGGGAATTTCATCCAAGCTGGTTCCAAGCTTACGCGATAGATCATCGATAGGAAAGAGATACCTAATCGACAGGTAGATACAGATGCACCCAAAAATTTGTCAATACAGAAACTAAGTTAAGATTCGTAATGGACGAAGAGGGTGATTAGGAGCAAACAACTACTCAGGACGATTGAGAGGTAATCAGAAAGACAAGGCACCAATCGTAAGAAGTCCCACCGTCCATCTGTGGCAGGATGACAAATTGATGATGGCTTCAAACTTTCAACGTTCATTTATTGAAATCCATCAAAGCATGGTTAATCGCTCTAATCGTGAATTCTGCCTCTGAACCAGAAAAGACCATGAATGGGCAAACTTTTTTGGTTACTGAAGAGGTTCATCGCAGCTCTAAAGCTACAGAATCAAAATGCTTTAATAAGCACTTTAATACGGAGTTGTGTCACCAAAAATGAAGTTATGATCGAAGAAAAACCATTCATGATCATTAATAATTATGAACCGCTATTTGGTACTGATGGTCCACGAATAGCCAACTAATAACTTAGAAATGTGTTATTTAGATGGATACACAGTTCATTCACAAAAGAGCTGGAAATGAAAAGAATTACGGTTAAGATAAACCGGTCTTACAGGTGGTAAGCTTGGAAAACGACAACCCCACTTTCACCAGATTTAAACATGCTGTGCAAACAATTGTAGGATCATTTACTGGGTAAATTTGAACAAGCGCGACTTTCGAATCCTTGCGTTTGTCTTTTCCGAAACTGTAAAACACTAATTGACTAATGCTCGAAAAAAGGGAGCAATTAAATCAAAAGCTCATCTTAGTGGTATGGAACCATTATTTAGACTCTTTTTGCATCCCATAAATAGTTAAATGACTTACCCAATGTGAGCCCCTACAAATCGTTTCCGAGGTAATGATATGCCCCATTACACTTTCCGAGAGACGATTTGGTAACAATGGATGAATTAGAACTTAAATTGTAATAAACTAGATTTCATGAAATTACCATTTCTTACTTTTTAAAGGCGGTCTGAAGGCTTCTAGGTCCAGCAGCGAAGCTATGGGGTAAGTCCATCTCCGAGTAGACCGCAGCCCACTTCAATTGGGAGGTGACGCGATGAAAACCACCTAAGCGATCAACTTTCTGAAATGGAGGGAAACAATTAGCATCCCATTACTATTCCGCCATTTGCATCTCACATATGACGCCCACTCTGTAGAGTTTGAACAAATCCAAGTCCTTATTAGCTATACTAGGCGCCTTATTGATAGGGGTTCCACGCGCATCCATGAATCGATAGAGTTTTGCAATCCACCTGTCCCTTTCCTCGAAATACTCTGGCGAATCAGAGCTAGTCGAGGCATCGCTGTTGCGCCCTTCATCATCAACAGGCTCTTCATTACTCTCAACTTTGTCTTCTGCACCACCACTGCTGCTCGCCGCAGAGCTTCTAGATATGAAGGACATCTTTCTGGGGCGTTGTTGACGACGTTTGGTGGGTTTGGGAGGACGTTGTTTCCTCTTGAGAGGTGGACTAGCATCTTCGCCTTCACTAGATGAAGCACCACTAGAAACAGATGACGAATTGGATGTGGAATACGAAGAAGAAGAGGCGTCAGCTGAAGATGAAGAAAGTGATCGATGTCGAAGTCGGCGTCGTGACTTCTTTGGAACCGCCGAAGACTGATGGTGACGAGATTTTAAAGGCTCTGTATTATCTTCATCAGAGAGCGCTAAACGTTAGAAAAGACGGTTAGAAATGAAGAGCTGGAGCAGTAAATACTCACGCCCCGATCGCCAGTTAGGCCCAAGAAGGGTATCCAAGTCGGAACCCCAAGAAGCAGGCAATTCACGGCGATCCAGCCAGAGAATTGCCCTCTCAAATGCTGTCCGTAAGCCAGGGTTCCGATGTGCTAATTTGACAGCCTTAGCTCGAGACAGGGGTTCCAGGTAGGACCTCGGAACGGCGTAGCTGAAAGACAAACGAATGGACTCTCAAACGTTTCTAGATAATTAAATGTCTTTTTGAATGCTCCAAAACCCTTAACCTCCAATGTGTTCATAGATAGTAGAAAACTTAATAGAACAATTCATATAGGTGTAAGTTAAACGGGCGTACAATCGATTTTCCCGGAATGACTTCACCAGGAAGACGGTGTCCTTGGGAGCAGAGGAGAGAGGTTTAAGATCAATGGACGGCATGGCAGAGGGCAAAGTGACCAATCCAGGTGTATATCGACGTCTCGGAGCTGCAGCTAGTGTGGAAGCAGCCGCAGCTGAGGTTGTGGTGAGGGAGGATTCGTCTAGAAGATAGAGATCGAGATAAATTGTTTGGTAACTAGCCATCCGTAGGTAGTCTGCGAGTCATTTGGATAAGAACAATTTGGTGGTAAAAAATGGACACTAGTAGTTGTGTAAAGCCATCGAATTTGCGGACTTCCTTGACATCAGTGGGAACAGAGCCAAAATCCGCTGACCTCCCCAAAGACAAGTTTTCTTCTAAAGAGCTAACTGAGCTACAATAACCGAAACAGTGACCATGAAAGGGAGGCTGCAAATTGGACAGCCCAACACAAAACTGCATAACGAAAACATTGTAAATGGCTGGATCCGCAGAAACTCATAGGACATCAACAGTTACTAACAGCCTTAACAAAGAGGAAAACACCTAACAGGCACCTGAGCACTACCGCGATCAACAACAGCCCAATAAAAGACAAATGTTTCTATCCAAGGCATTGACATACAGGGAGCCATTAAAATAAACACTGAAATTTATTTCAATTAGAAAGAGAATTAAACCCACTTTTTGAAATGATAGGCATGTCGATCATTACAAGAGAGCCAAGGAGGCGATTATAACTGTCACTCTGGACTTGTGCACCACCAGAAACGGTAGGAGGGGTAGTAGTTGCAGCGGAATCGTCTCCACTTTTAGCTGCTGCAAAAGCTGGCACTGAAATGGTATCTGTGGTGCTCAATTTTTGCCCATTACCACCAGCTGACATTTTTTTCGTCTTTCTTCCTGCTGTATCCGCCCCTGCTTCCTCGTCTCCTAGAGAAGCAATCTCTGCTAGTGTGGTGGATTCCTCCTCCTCTTCTCCCTCATCCGCCCCTCTATCTTCGTCCCCTTCTTCACCTACTGTTGCTTTCAACCTATCTGGATGTCGCGAACAAGGTTCTTCCTCATCTCCATCGTCATCATCTTCCAGACTAGACCTTGGGAAGGTAAAAAAGAATTAATATGCCATTCACAATGCAAAGACAGTTTAACGACACAACGAGTAAACCTAGTTTTGTTAGATTCTGCAGGTAGAACAGTTTTATCCTTAAATGAACGCCGACGCAAATTCATCACAGAAGGCTAAGACGGACGAAGGATCGAGCTTAAAGTTGAAGGATGGAGCCGATGAATCCACAGGCTGAAGGGATAAAATCGGCAGCTGCAAAAGCTCCTTCGCGAAAATTCAGATTAATGTCGTGCCACAAAAGTGGTATGAGGATGTCAATTGTGGCTGTGGCTTCTCTCTGTAATAAACCATCCATAAAAGTGTTTCTGGTTCAAAATAAAACTTCCAGTCCACTAAATGTTCGCAATTCGATTACCATTTTTGAGGGACAATACAAAGTGTACAAGTGGACCCAAAATCACTGCAATCATTTTGGTTCCTCAGGTTTCATAGCATAAATCCTATGGATTAGAACACAGAATTACTAGCAGCCTAAATAATAATAAAATGGACTAGTTACAGTCGACCAGCGTTGCTAACCTCTATGCAGATTAACAAACAAGTAAACTCGCAAAATTACAAAATTCGACAAACAGTAATACTACTTTTAGCATTTAGCCTGAGCCCAAAACGACCTTTATAGCTTTTGAATTGTAATGAGTGCTTCCAAAATGCAAATGTCGAAATGGTGGCTAAAAAAAGATATGCTAGAACACTACAGTCTCACGAAGAGTACATTAACTTCAAGTGAAGAAAGACCAGTAGGTCATTTCAATTTAGTGAATCCATGGCTTGAAATCTTAACAGAACATGCAAGGTCGGCCAATGTAGTGACAGCTGTTTTAAAAACACCTGGGAAGGGGAATGGCTGGTACAGAGATGAAGCAATATAGCCCAAAAACAGACAAGCTTTTCGAGGATACAGTGCAGTAGACAGCGGCCTCACAAAGAAAAATACATTGGCAGTTCAATGCACAAAAATATCCGGCCAACAAATGCTCTGATAAGCATAGCATAAAAATTGAGCCTTCAGACGATCGAAAATGACTTTGGAAGGGTAGTAGGATAAATGCTAAAACAAAAATATTCAACTTACTGATACCGCCTATTACGATCAATCACAGGCTGCTTAAACTGCTCGGGATTCGTCAAGGGAAGACGATCAAGGCTTTCGCTTTCCTTGAAGTGGCGCTCGCCCTTCAGTACCAGTTGTGTCCGTTTTAGGCTGCGCTTATCACCATCGTCAAAAACTAGTGGGGAACGAAATAGACCAATTAGGGTCGACCAGTCAATCAATCTCCATCACCACCCTACTGAGAAGTTGGAAGTTAGTCATTACTGCGATGCTAATATAAAGATAATAGAAGGCCGAAAGAAAAGTATCAAAACTGTTGCTTACAAAACATTGAAGACTTTCGCAAATTTGCATCGGTAACTTGACACGATAAGGAACGGCTTACGGGAACATTGCCTGAGATATCAAGTTAAACGTCCATGATCTCCCCGACTACCTTGTGAGTAGATGATCTAATCCCAAATTGATACGCGCAATACCCACTTTAGAGAAAATTAAAAGCTGAAATGATTGCAGCGTTAAAAAATCCATAACAACCTCATTTACCCAGCCAAATAACGAACCGAGAAGTTCTGAAACATGTGTGCCCTATGCAAGGTTGAAACCTTAGAAACTTCAAGAAGATTGTTTAAATCGTGCAGACCCTTAGAAAAGACTGCAAATTTCTTAGATAATCGAGATCTGTGTCGAACAGGTCAAAATTCCCACTATCATGAAAGTGCAAACAATAGGTTATGCTTGCAAGTGTTTTGATACCATCACCACATGGTATCGGAAACTTCGTTTCTTATTACTTGGACAGTTTAATGAATGGATAAACCATAATAATCTGTTGGCATTGAAGCCATAGCAAAAACCAAAGAGTTTTCAGAATGAAAAGAATTCAACAAATGCATTTGAGTGCAATGATCCATGTTATAGTCCAGGGTATCAATAACGCTAATAAGACAAGGCTCCAATACTACGTAATGTCAATACTATTTGGCATTAAAAACTTGCATCCAAAATCGGCAAATCACAACGTTTTTAGGAGTAATTCAAAGACCACGAGATTGAATGAAATTCAACAGAGCCTACCGACTGTGTAAAGACTGAGATCAGTAATCCGAACGATCGAAGCAGTCTGTGGACTAGGTGAGGCAAATTCTCCACTTTTAATGAGCACAGACACTTCTGCATTGGGTTCGATATTGCCAGAGAGAACGTTGTTTTTGTCCAAGGTGACGCAGCCCTAAAATATAGACAGAGAGGAAATAAAGTAGTAGACTTGAATTTTGTACACTCACAGTTTGGGCTCTTCACGAGAACGACAGAAGTGCATCCACCACACACTAAAATTCTCAAATCTCTTCTATTTTTTGCGCTTGAGTGAAGAAGTTGAGACCACTACTGAATGACAACAGTAGCCCAAAGTTCCCCAGCTGGTTGCTTAAGCCGCTACAGAGGAGAATTACCTGATGCCAACGGTTAGAACCATGGAAACAAAACAGGAAATCCACCAAAGTCACGGCTTTATATATTCACCCTACTGCAAAGTAGGGTCTTACAAAAAATGAAGCCGAAGAGAATATTCAAAAAGTGGGACAGAAACAACTTAGTGAGCTGATACCCGGCTACCCTGGACTGGCGATGCTAATCCCAACTTAATGCAGCAGAACATTCAACATATATCGCTAATAATAAGCTGACTCGAAATGTAAGGGAATGGTTCCCACCTTCTTATCCTTTATCTGAACTCGAATACGATAATTAAGGGTCACCCTTTCGATTGACGCTTCGCAAAAGGCGCCACGATACTTCGCACTAACAGCAGCCCCAACTGGAAGGAAGACAGGCACAGACTTTGACTCGTGACCACCTCCACCTTCTGAGGCGCTCAGGTTCGACGACGTCGGTGTTTCGGATCCAACTCGCGACGCCATTACAGAATCAGGACCATTCGGAAGGGACATCAAGTAACGTGTCACCTAGAAAATGTATAAAAAGGTAGAACAAATACTTATATAGTTAAAAGGAAAGAAGTGAACTATGCATGTTACGGTGAGTGAAGCAAACTATTGCGCCGCGTTAGAAATGGGCAATACCTTTCTAAATCGGTACTTTGATTGTAACATAGTAGAAATCTGTGAGTTGAAGGCTTTCCGGTCTGCAATCGGTAGAGGTCGATACAAGACCCAAAGAAACAAAACTCACGAAATGTACTGGTCTAAAAATGCATTTGTAGAAACAATTCTACCATGATCACAGGTTAAAAACAAACGTAACCGGGTCCAAGGGTACTGTATAAAGAGCATTAAATTACTGATATTCATACAAAGTAAAGCCATTAGTGAAAAGATGCAGTTGAGAACCATATGAAACGAAACGAGTACCACCACCACCACCTACCCAATCAAAATATCGGGTGGCACGAATGAACACTAGTCTACAGTTGGTAGTAGATGGTGTATAATAAAATTAGGGAAACTAATTACTGTAAAGGCAATACTTTGTGGAAATTTATTTTACAGTTGTTTCATATGAGTGATTTACTATCCCTTATGCAAGTGAATTATCTTATGATCATCTTGGCACTCGAATCTGAAATTCGCGTGAAAACTACAAATAGCGGCGGCTAGTGCTTCATCCAGTTTTCCACGCGGCTGATGGCGGATAGTCAAATAGTATGTGGATTATCCTATGTGACCAGCCTTTTTGTTTTGCTTACGAATTCTCTCGCTGGTACTATCTAACACTACCGATTAGAAGATGAGAGCTGGCAATAGGCCAGTTCCTTCATGGCCTAAACTCAGGTCGTTTATTTCAGTACTTATTTCGCCTTGGAAAGTTGTTCTAATTCAATGGCCCACACTTTTATTGTACGGTTTTTTAAAAGTCTGCTGGTGAAAGTTCTGCCGAACTCATTTCCTTCCGCGCCTCTTTTCCTGATGCGGAAGTTAGTAAGCCATTTTTGTAAGCCCCAGTTGTATCATTCGTGGTTAGCAGTTACAGAGGATATGGTCTGTTTTTTCTAATCAAAAGCTGACAACTTTCCTCGAATCTGAACTTTGGCTTTGTGGGGCCTAACTTTTCCCAAGTCTTGTTTTTACAATCGCTTATTTGTGATCGTCGTTTCATTCATTTCTGCCATCCGGTCTATCCGGACTTGCTGATGGATTCCAACAACTACACTTTGTTGTGTAGCTCATCTCGACAGATTTTCTCATCACCCTGCCTTTACTAGTCTAATAGCTGCATCCACTTTTGGTACTTTTACAGAATTACTAAGTCCTCTCTATGTAAATGGCTATTCTATATGATAAGTTGCAATAACCGTACCGGTTGCTCCATGACTTCTTCCTTTCCTACAGGATTTTTCATTATACTACTCTTGAGAGTTTGTTTCATTCCATGTGTGTAATACCGACTCGGATAAAGAGACATCGGGTTCTAGGATTAGATGAGTTATAAATACTGCGGGATTCGTAGGTAGCTTATTCGCTTAAAATCATGAATCATTGAGTCGATTAAACTTGCGGGCCCTAAGTAGCCATACCTCGTATTTATTGTCACGATATTAATGCAGCCGTTAAAGACCATGAGCTAGATGTATTTATTTGTGAGCTCCATCATTTAGAGTAGCATCGAATCTTCGACTACTTTTTTGTGATACTGATCCGTAAAGTATCCCATAGGTCGAAGTACCTCTGAACAACCTTGTGAGACCTCTGTGAGTGTTCCATTGAACGCAACCCTTTGTCCATTGTGATAGGAGCATAATTTATTGGTTGGAGCGCTGAATCGCAAGGGTGTTTATGTTCGACCACTTTTAGACAAGCTCTATCTTTCCGAGAGCGGAAACTCCTCAGTTAGCCCCATGACAATGGTTTTAGTGGTGCATATGTCGTTGGAGTTTGTCTCTCGGTGTATTCTTTTAGTTGCTCATTTTTTACGTTGTCGAGGTGGTTTGGAATAGAACACTAAAAGTATCATACGGAAATCGCCATAGTCTCATCTTGGACGCACACCTTCATCTCAAATTAGTGTACCCTCGTATCAGTTTTCACAGTGGACCTAGATCTAATTATGCTAACGCTGGAGACGAGAATAGATTTGATTAATTTTCGTTCCGTATTTTACTGGTCATTTTTTTCCCTCGTCACAGGCTCCATTGGATTTTTCCAGTAAAAAGAAAAAGAAGACCAAGAATTTCCTCCCTTCTGACCTGCCCCAATCTGAGGTGGCGCCTACTTCTACAAGATCCGTTGAGAAAGTCGAAAACAAAAAGGATGCGCCCAAGCCCAAATCTATCGATGCACCCGCCGCCTCTACTAGCACACACCCAGTAAAAAAGAAACATACAGCTGTAGGGTCAGTCACTGAGCAGCTTGATGAGCTTGCGTTTGGCGAAAAAAAAAAGAAAAGGAAGGGTGTCCTTCGGCCTCTTAATGAATCTGAGCCTCAATCTTCTATATCTGTTGCTCAAGGCTCTTCCACCATCGGTGCTGTCGCCTCCTCCCAAGGTGGTGTGGAAACTGAGGCCACTGAAGGTGCAGCTCAATCTGGCAACACTGGTTATCCGTACGATATGCTTCTAGCACGAGTATTTGCCCAAATCCAGGCGCACAACCCGGAGCTGATGTCTGACACGAAACGCCGATTGGTGATGGCACCGCCCTGCATGGCTCGAGTAGGCACCAAAAAGACTCATTTCACCAATTTCAATGGTATCTGTCGCTCGCTTAATCGTGACCCAGCTCACCTCTCTGCGTACCTGTTTGCAGAGCTGGGTACAACGGGCTCGGTGGACGCTAACGGGGCGTTACTAATTAGGGGAAAGTATCAGGCTAAGCATATTGAACCGGTGCTGCGAAATTATGCTCGTGAGTTTGCGGAGTGCGCTTGCTAATGGACTGATTTTACGTAGAACTATTCTCACGATGGTAATGACAATATTGAATCTCCTTTAAACTTGAACATTGTTGGGAGTACTAACGACGGTTTATTTAGCGACTTAAAGCTAAGCCGCCTCGCTACCAACAGTGTTGTGCGATGGAACGGGGCTGCGTTCATACTATATTGCTCGTTACCTTTAGGCGATTGGCATTTTTGGTTCTTGATGTAGGCCTTCGCAAGAGACATTCGTTATGAGGCATATGCGTCTGTTTGTTTTTTTTTTTGTCAAAAATATAGGGGTTGTTTGAATTCTTCGCATTCTTAAACGCTGGTCGTAGTTATTAATAAAGTCGTGAGTGATTTCATATTCCTATCCTGGGAGTATTTAGGCAAATACTTTGATTCTAACGAAGGCGCCTCGTCGAGTTCGGTGCTCTTACGTTGATAGTATGAGAAATTGTATCTCTAATGATACAAACACGAATTTCACATGTTGAGCGTATCTGCACTTGAGTCTTAGCTCGGGTGTAGTCCTCATCTGCGTCTTATTCAGAGGGAGGAAGCTATGCAAACGGAAGGAGACGGGAGATCTTCCACCCATTTGGAGCAGGTGATGGAAAGAATCGGATGACAAATCTTGTTTCATGTTTTTTTTCACGCTTTATAATTACTGAATAACCAATTGGAGGGTGAGTAATAGTTTTGTTCCAATATTGAGCAACCAACACATCGTTGGTCATGCTTACGCGAGCAGTACGTCTTAGCCACTAACTACTTCGTTTCTAGTACGACCATTTGCTTTGTGTGTGGTGTACTATGAGCCATATTCTTTACGCTGAATCCAACCGATGAAAAACTTAATAAAGTACTTCTTAGGTTTATTTAGTTTGCGTCACGATAGTAACTCGCAAAGGAGTCAAATTCCTGCAATGCATCGGAATTGTTTGCTTGCGATGCTAATGGTAGGTGGTTGGTAAACCAGATGGAGCAGAACTGTAGAGTAAACCGGACTACGTTTTTTGGTTTTAACTTCGAAATCTCGCTTAAAGAAGATTTATCAAGTTTCATTCTAGTCGGAAAAGGATATCTCTTACGAGTTTTGCGGGGAAGGGGATCTTCCTTCTAATTGTCTGGTGTGGACAAGGTCCTGCGAACCTTTCTTATAGTGTTGCATTGAACGCTTGTTGGAAATGGGAAGGAATTATGATTTGAGGGGTGCGTTGAGAGTGTTGCGATGTATAATACAGTCCGTTACGCCACTTGGCATTCTGTGAGTAGCTTTTGTTGTATGCACCCGCCAGTGCTAAAGGTTTGGGAGACACTTGGGATTTAACTTTCCTCAGTTTTCATCAAGCATTGATTTAGATTCCATTTTTTCATACATTTCCTTTTAATTCATATGATGCCGATCTACTTGTAGCGTGAATACACCTACCTAGGACAGATCTCGCCTCCGGTTTTGATACCAAATATCGTTTGACTCCAAAATGATTAAATACTAATTTGTGCACTCACTATTTTGTTTCATTGAAGGTTTTTAGCAGAATGAGCTTTAATAGCATAAATCTTGTTATTTCTCTAGGTACCTACGTTCTGTGCAGCACCTGTCAATCGCCCGATACCGAATTGTCCAGAGATTCGCGACTTCTCTTCCTCCAATGTAAAACGTGCCGTTCGCGCGTAACAGTGAAGAGTGTAACCTCTGGTTTCCAAGCTGTCACGGGGAAACGTGCTGCTATTCGTGCAAAGACGCAATAGTTATGATTTATGTATACTTTTTGCGCACCTTTCGATGCTAGCTGTGAAATTTCGCAGGTACTGTGAAAAGAAAGCATTCAAGTTATGTTTTTATTCCTCTATCATTTAACCTAAGGGATAATTAGGGTGTCAAACTTTAATCGTGTCTGCGTGTTTTTTGTCACCATCTTTTTGTGTGGCTAAATAATCATTAAAGCAATCCAAAGGAGACGAATCAAATAATTGTTTGGCCGATTATTCTATCAGTCCTTATATAATTTAGCACCAGATGAATCTGACTCAATGGAAGTGGCTCAGTGACTGATCAGAATACAATAAAAAGGGTCACAGGCATCTTCGTTATAATCTGGGAAAAGGGACAAGTTTTTTGCGGCGTTGGGTGTTGCCCGTCTGTCGTTTTTTTTATTTAATAGTCGGAAACTGTAGCGATGTCTTCCATTCCTACGCACTGCGGTTTGGTTGAATAATGGGCAATGGAGCTCGGTCCAGGCTCAAAACAACCTTCACTTTGTGCAGTCTTGGGTGTGCTCATACTGCATGTTCTCTTGTAATGGCCGAAATTATTGTCCTAATCTCGGGTTCGTGGAAAGCTGTTTTAATTGAAGCGACTTCGAATCTAAGTAACTGCAAAGTGCTTCATTGTGAAAGTGCCTGTGCTGAACGCATGGTTATACGTGAGTCGCGCAAATAAACGTGCGCAATGGAGAAACACCGAGTTGTGAACACGATGATGGACACACAGACACAGACTGAGGTCGGAAGATGCGCCCTCTCTGACTTCCTCATCCTGTTGAGCTCTCCAAGGTAAACAAAGTATGTACAAGTTTTCACATTCTATCAACAGGGAAGGGGAGGAGAAATAAGAAATTCCTACAGCTATACCCTGCCTGTAAACTGTTTGGTAGAACCTTATGATTTGTAGAAAAGAAGGTTTTGCATTATCTTGGTCAGCTCTTAAGCTGTTTCTGGTCACTCGCTGCTTATTTCAAACTTCCCTTTGGTACAACCGCAAATAGTTCTGATTCTTCTGAAAATTTAAAGTTTGCTGGAGGTTCTTGAGGGAAATGGCTTGTCTCTGCATCTCGCGAGCTCACCGATGGAATGGACAGTCATCCGCCAGCGGCAGGAGCAGAGAACGCGCCTCTTCTTGGACATAGCTTCCTGCTAATATTTCCCAAATCCTAAAATTGCACTCAATGGCTTGCATAACTCGTCCCTCTGGTTATGCGGGCGCCTTAGACTCTGTGGTGTTTCTCTGGGTCGTCAACGTGGCCTGTGGGTCGTGTAGATTGATTCAGTTCTTTTTTACGTCAACAAAACCCTTTTTGTCATGCTACAATAACTGTGTACAGCTCCAAGGATGCAAACAAAGTGCATGCAAGACGGACTGACGAATTGAACAAGAGTATTTTAATCGAACCTTAAAACGCAAAGTATCCTTCTTCATACCTCACTTAGAAATGGGGAAGAGGAAAATGGGTTCGCAAACATTTGGCCAAGCTCGAAGTAGGTTTCACAATATCTCCGTTTTGCTATATGACGGATGAGGGATAACACAAAATTTGAGAGGTGGCAGGATGGACTCAAGAGTGGCGAAAGGTCAGCCTTCATATATTCGAGGCAAAAAACGCCACGAACTCGGATTTGCATCACAATTGCACTTGATAGAGGAGTTACTTTAGTCAAGAATAAAAGGCCCCATAAAACATGCTTCAGAGCTTCCCACTTTTAATTGGTAGCTCTGGAGTACGAAGAGGTGGAAAACCGAAACATTTAAATGGTAAGGCAAGAAGGTAGAAATGATACAGAAGCGACGCCCTTTGAATGACTGATGCAAACTGCTTTGTTTGGAGTCTGTCATGCACACGAAGGCAAGTTTTAACAGACATCCACTGTAGCATTACCAATTATAAGCGCACCGCCCTAATAAGAAAAAAATGCGTAAATAGGAAGGAGGGGTTCTCAACATTTAAGCAAAGGTCCGGTGAGTAATTCAATAAGCCAAATTGGGATCTAGATGTTTATTCAACAGGTTCCAATGTCTACACAAACGCACACGCACAACTACCCTGCAGGTGTTCAACAGGTCAGGCGGTCATCCTTTGCCAATAATGCATGTAGCGTTACTTGATGCTAATTTTGAGAACATTTTAATCTCCGCATGTACTACATCACTTCTGATGCACGGTCTTTGTCCAGGCCAATGCACCTTCAGCTCTTTCTGTGCTCGCCTTTGTTACATCAATCTCAAATGTGGAGTGTACAAATTTTTCAGATAGCCTTAACCACGCCAAATCATCCTCCAGCCAGATGACACACAGTTATCGTTAGGCGCCCACTTGGGCACTCCGTCCTAGTCAAGGAAGTGTGGATGGCAAGCCGTAGTGGAGCAGAGACGCGTGCGCATGCCACGAATAGGAAGGTTGGTGACAACTTCAAGGAAGAATGGCTAAGTGACATCCACTCTCGCCAACTGCCGCAGTTGTACGATCGGTGAAGAAGACATTAACAGTTGAAGCTACCTACCGTTCTTGTACGCTGATGCCAATACCGTAAGCACGTGCTATCCCCTCCACTCTTCTACTAGTTGAAGCAAACCCACCGGCCTGTGGCTGTGGTAATTCTGGTGCCACAACATCAATGGTCATTCCACGCCTTTTTTGTGACTTTTACTTTACTTTGGGCAAGTGACGTGGCAAGCACACTCCCGCTACCCCATCCAGAGGCACCAACACGGCTGCCATGTAGTCTCCCAGCTGCATGGAAACTAAGTGACCATCACAGCAGTGTCGTAGGTGTGTTTCTCTATCGGTGAGGAGTACGTTGAGATGGCCGACGCAGGAGGTTGGCAGAAGGTAGCACTGGGAATCATGGCGAAAAGAGAGGAGAACTATGAACTGCGATAGTTGCCCAACTTTTGTTTGGTAAATGAACTAGTTGAATGCTCAGCCTCTGCTCTAGTGGTGGGCATGCTAGCCTCCGCAGAATGCTAACGAAACTAGTCTCCATTATCGAATAGATGCATCAAATCCGAGTGATTTACCCACTTTCTACTTAAAGGATATCTCGAGATCCTGTACTTAGGTGATTATAATTTTACAATTCGCCCCTAATTGTGTCTTCTTTCGTCTTGAGGAGCTGTAAACACAGGTCTGCTCAAAAGTTCCCTAAAATGTGAAACTAATTGTTCCACGAATTGAAACCTTCCCGCTAGTCCTGTATTTTACGTCACCATTTCTCCGAACCCGAAACTAAGCATTTTAAGTCAGTTAGTAAGCAGGATATACGTGGTCTGATATTTTGAAACAAATGTCTATTACAGTCCTTGTTTGTGTAGACTGTAAAAATAAATAAAATTTGGTACATTTCGCTCATCGTTGGAAAATAATGGTAGTTAATGTCAAGTATCAACGAAAGAATTAGGAAGTGAAAGTAGGAGGAACAAAAAAGGGAGAAGGATAGCAGGAAGGAAAGTAGTCAGAAAAACAGGCATAAATGTATGAATGGACCAACAATTAACCAAACTATCTTACCCGCGCACTCCTCGTATTCACTAGAGATACCTTGAAATTCGGACATTTAATTTAGTGATCTGGCATAGTTTCAAATCAAGCCAAATTTTTCCAGTTTTCATTACCGTCCTGTGTCCACTCGACGGAGACTGAAAGCAGGTCGCGCCCGATGTCGAGGTCAATGGAGCTGTATTCAATGCTCCTCGTTCGATGAAATCGACCACGAAATATCTTGCAGTCTTCAGAACGGTTTATCTCCCAAACTGAGTTGACAATAAAGAGTTTTAATTAATTTTAACACTGGAATGGGAACAGCTCATTAATCCCAGTAACTTTAACAACTGTTTGGCGTTCATTGTTGGCAGGATAACTATTTCGCGCACTATGCTTACTCGTAGGAAGGCACACACTTTACTCATTGGGATTTTTTTCCTCTATTTATCATCCACATAAAAGGTTTATTTGACCTAGAGGATGCAGTTTCCGCTTCCCTACCTTTGAACCAAGTCATAGCTTGACTAGAGGAGAGCAAAAGCTTTTGCTAAATTTGTTGTTACAGATGAGGAAGCAAGGGGTGAAGTGGAGACGTAGAGGTAGCTGATTTAAACGCAACACTCACTACATCGTCTAATTAGCTCGCTAATTCGGATGCTTAAGTGCTCCACTAGTTGAGAGCCACACATGCTTTGACTACTTCATCCCTCCCGTTGTAAAAACTCGCCGCCTGACTCATTCGTGAAGTGGAACAGAATTTTTATTCTAGAACCACCAAACAATCTTGCCACTGTCTACATCACCATTATGAACCGCACAGGACACCATTCCCACTTGATCGCTTCTTGAGCATGGCAACCCACTGGCTTCGACGCTTACCGTAGTTATCTTGCCAAAATGGTAAAGATTTGTGCCTCAGAATGGGATGTAGGGAGACAGTAGCTGTTACCTTCTCACTCATATTCCTCAAATAAAGATAATTTTAATATCTACGCCCACATTAAATGAGGATGAACAAAAACAGGTTGTTTTACTGTATGATTACTGCGTCACACTGTGGTTATATTACGGTTACTCGAATGCCAGTGTGACTGAAGGCGAGAATTTAGAGTCGTGACATGGATGGTATGGTATGCCATCCATCAGAGCAAGGCTTCCTAAGCGATCTCTCCATGTCACACTTTTTTGGCAGTGGACGCAACCTTCACTGCAACTTTATGCCTTCTTGACATCTGCACCACAGGTTCACTCCATCAACACATTTTCAGTTAAAAGTTGGGCCCACAGAAATGTGAACAAACTTACAACACTTATGGAAACGGGATATCTCGAGGTCGTTGTTCCTCCAAAGGCACAAAACTTCATTGTCGTCAATTATTCTCGCCTAAAGTCGAAACGAATCAAGGACAGCTACAAGGGAAGACTTTATTGTCTCCATTAAATACTCTTCCAACCCTAAGGGATCTAAAGAATGAATTTTAAAAAACGGGAGCA